ACCATTGTCGCTGTGGGTCAAGGCCACATGGTTCAATGACATTTGGAAGAGAAGCATCCATGTTTGGAAACCTGAAATCTTTGTGTTTCAGAATGTTGACAGTTATTTCTTCATCTGTGGCATACTTTCGTAGATGGACTTCTCCAGGATGTTCATGTGTCATGCTGCAAAAGATGTTAGATCTTCCAACATACATTTTTTTTTATATTTTTATCTAAACAGTTTAATGTATTAACTAATTACAAAAGGTATTGAAGGAGCACAGTCATGGCATTTAATTTCTTTTGAATTTCTCTTCTGTTCTATGTTTTTAACAACATAATATAAAAATCTTCAATATTCAATGATAACAGCATTCTTCATTACTTTACACTAAGCATTTGCATTTGTCAACATGGGCTTAAAATCTGTATTTAGTGTTTGCCTTTTGGTTTTTTTTCTTTTGTATACATGTTCATCTAATTTTTTTTAATTTGATATTAAACATTGAGATTTTTAATTCAGGGATAAATTATACAAGCAAAAATATGACAATCAAAGACCACAATTAAAAAATGTATATATAATAAGATGTACATGTATAAAGAAAAATATTAAATTAATTTTGATAACTTCTATTCTGAAAATCTCTGGTTTTACTAAGTCATGATATTTGACCCAAGTAAATAAAACGAAAAAAAAAAATATAATTTGAACATCTTATCTATGCCCCTCTGTGCATTTATTGTTCTGTGATAACCCAACATTTAATGAATTAATTGTTCAAAAAAACAAAACAAAACAGGCAATATATGCATACCGAATATGACGATACTGCTTGAGTTGAGGTATTGGCTTGAAGTACTGCTTGAGAAACGTGCTCCAGTCATAGAAAATGATTGGATACTGAGGATCCTCTACAAGCTGTGGAATATTATGATTATTCCTAGATGAATGAGCAACAAATTTGGCCACTTCATCGAGATTCTCTGCAGTTGTTCCTCGCCATTTCACCTTCCAGAGCCCAAAGTGCCAGTCGGGATGAAACTTTGTGTGGCCTGCCTCCATCAGGGAAAACTCAATGGTCATATGTCTGCCAGTCATAACTCGCCACATCCCATATCTACAAGACATCCTTTTAAAATAATGTTTGGCAAAGACAATATCTCTAAATGCACATCTAAAAGAACTTGATTATAAAACTAAACTTTAAAAAGACAGCAAATGAATTGACAATAATTTTGCCAGTGTATTTCACTACAAGTACCACATGTAAACATGGATGTATTTGACATGAGGACACCTATTGTAAAAATACCACCCTCACAAATGGTAGTTATATAGACAGTTGGATTGGAAATACATACCCGATAACAGTGTTGTTTTTATTTTGACCAGTGCAGTTGTCCATATGGAGTTGTAAATTCTTTTCTCCATAACCTTTATGTTGAAAATGGTGGTGAATCATACTGGCAACAGAGTTTGCTCCCTTTCCAGAATGCTGTGACTCATCAATCAAGTAAAATATCTGTGATCCTGGATAAAAGTTCACAAAAGAAATATTTGCACTGAAAAAGTTTATTATTCTTTTACTTTAATTATTAAAGGGTGCATATCTGAAAATGTACTTCTAAATTTACAGGCTGCAGTTATCAGCCAATTAAATGCACTGCTTTAATCTGTTTTATAAATTCAATTTGTTTGACCAGTACACTTGTACATAAATCTATATGTTTTATTTCCTATCATTGAACTAAAAGAGTAATGCTAAAAAAAAACTAATGAGACTATTGTAGTCTTGTGTTCAACATTCTAAAAATTACCTGAACCCTCTGAACAGATTCCAAAACACTGGCATTTCTGTGGGGTTTTGAAGAACAAAGGACCAACCTGTTGCGCATAATGTGGATAATGTATTTGCTGGGCATAATCAAAACTGTAATGTTGAGTTCCCTCCAAAGAACAGATGGGCTGACCTGGGGAAAATATGATATATCTATGGCATGCCAAATTCACAAAAAGGAGCTAAACCTAGTTTCACAATTGATAAACTAGGTTTATCGACTGTAAACTATAGTTTACAAACCATGAACTATAGTTAACGATTCGTTAACTATAGTTTTCATCTGTAAAACTATATTTAACGGTTGTTAACTATAGTTTACGAATGCTAATCTAAGTTTATCTCTCTTTAATAAAATGTTAACAATAGATTTTGTTGATAAACATAGATTCACATCTGTAAACTATAATTTACGATCGTTAACTATAGTTAAGAGTTGTAAACCATAGTTTACAAATTGTGAAACTGTATTTATCAGATAATATATGTTTTTCAATCGCAAATGATTGTTTTCGGTGTTGTATAATTTACGGTTGTGAAACATAGATTATCGTGTTAACTATGGTTTACAGATGTAAAATATAGATTAACGTTGTTAACTATAGTTTACAGTCCGTAAATTATAGTTTACAACCGATAAACCTAGTTTATAGACTGTAAAACTATGTTTTTCTCATTTTTGTGAATTTGGCGTGCCATATATATCAATAGCCAATTGATTAAGAAAAATCACAAATTTAATAGAGCTAGTGCAAAAATGATCAACTAATTTCAAACAATATTACTTCAGTCATATAATAAATTGTTACCTCTGGTTTTTCTCTCATTTGGAAGAGCTGAAAAGCTTGTTTTAGAATCTTCACATTGCCTTCTGTAATAATCCCTCTGCATCTTTGATTTTTCAACATGAACTGTGTATTTCTCAAGATGTTGCTCCTTTTCCTCTTCTGTCATATTGCCACCGTGAATCAGGGTATTTACATAAGATTGGCATTTATAACAGAGGTCTGTTGAAGGTTTACTAATTAGAACATGTGGACATGTATTCAGCCAAACTCTTTTAAACTCTGACAAACATATCTTTCTCAAATGTAGACTCTCCGCAGCTAACAAATAGTCCTGATGTATATCAGCCTTGGTCTTATCAGACGGCAACACTATAGCTCTACAATCTCTGTAGTTCGGCAGTCTTCCTGGTAATGGTAAACCAAACTTGTTTCCATAAGATGTTAGAAAATCTTTTACAGATTGAATATCATTTACAGTGAGGGCATGCTTTGGATGTTTACCAATGTTTCCATGGATTCGAGGAACAAGTCCATCCTTATCAAGGGAACGAGCAAGTGCGTCAACCGTCTTCCTATAAACCCCATGGCAAAACGCAAATGTTTCTCTACACACTTGATGTCCATTAAAAAAATATTCTTGTCTAATTCTCTCCCTTTCTTTTGATCTATGTTTTTTTGCACTAGTCACTTTGTCATTTCGGCGATGGTGAAATAATTGCACTTTAATCATCATATCTAGTTCATCCTTGTTCATTTCCAGGCATGTGCTTCTGTATTCAAGCAAAGATTCTAAATCGACGACCTCACTACATGGTTTTCCGTAGAGTCGAGAACAACCGCATGTTTTAGAATTAAACTTTAGAAATTGGTCAATTTCATTCTTATCTACCTCACTCTGCTCTATGGGTACTAAATTTTCTGGATCTATTTCTTCATCGCTTTCATTTTCGTCAGAGCTCTCTGCGTTATCCGAGTGATATTCTGGGTCGACATCCGACTTGTTTGACAAGTTTCCAAAATATAGGTCATTTACTCGATTTATTTCGTTTACAAATTCTTTATCTTCGTTTTCTACTATTTCTGGGGGGATTGTACTTGCATTAGAAACTGCACTTGAGTGGCTTAACTGGCTGCAGTTTTCCATTCTAATAAGTTTCAAATCTCCCTCATTGCTAGAGACGCCATGATTGTTTACACCAACAACTCGGACAATAAAGAAGAGTTAGTCATACGGGGAATAACTCTAAATATACTCGATTTTTTTTTTCTCGACAAACTTTTAATAATATAAATCAAAATAAGATCGATTTTCTTATTATTTTTGTTCATACAAAAAAGTTATAAAACATTACCCAATGTAAATTCATTCTGCAATTATTTTAACAAGTGCGCGAAATTCACGCCTTTTTGTAAACGTTGATTGTGACGTTTTTTTCATTATTGCGTTTTGCCGCATTTGGGCCAAAAATCTCATGGCGAGTCACATATATTTATATTTATATACATGTACATATATTTACATTTATATACATACAATATTCACACTAAATATATTCATATATTTTATAAATATTTTTTCTAGTGTTGGCAAATCGGACGATTTTTAGTAACCGGTTACTCGCTCAATCTTCCGATCGAGTACCCGGTTACTCGGATGATTTATTCATATTCATATACAGTTGTATATCATTATCTCATCCTTTACTCATCGGTAGTAATAAAACACAAATATATTGTGAATGCTTAAAGATACCCACGCACGCACAATCTTGAAAGAATTTTAAAACGTGTATTTATAATTAAAAATTAATTAAATCAGAAGAAAAAATATTCACTGTTTCACGTTATTTTTCAGTGGTGTTCATCACCTTTTACTTTTCGACTCCCGATATAATTATGTCATGATCGAGGAGAATAATTATGTAGAAATTTGAAGTAACAACCGTACACGATAACTCCAATTCACATAAATTACATTTTACAGGTATCGAATCGGCTGTTCTTTTAAATACTTCCAAGGTTTATGTCTTTGGCGGCATCTTGTTAAATTTTTAATAAGGTAATTATAACTCTTTCTTCAAAACTTGTATAACCTGCTGGCAATCAAAGCTACCAATTAACTGTGAAAACTAATCAAAACGAATCGATCGTATTAGTGAAACACTAGATCATTAAATCTAACGGTAAATAGAATTAGAGAAATGCTTATATATACGCTTATAAACAAATTAACTTTTTTTTGTTATTTACTTTATAAGATGTATTTTTATCCGAGTAACCAAATAGCAGTTTTACTAACCGATACTCGCATCGTTCGACGGTTAACCGGTTAACTGGGTACTCGTTGCCAACACTAATTTTTTCTAAAATGTTCTGGAAATGGTGGCAATATCTACATACCTAAGTCATCTGGAAGTTCTGTTAAATTGTTTTGCTGAATATACAACTGAAAGAAAAAAAAAAAGAAATTAAAATCTAGAATAAGGCTTTAAGATTCAAATCTGAATCAAAAGGGCTGTGCTATTATTGTAGTAGTATTACTGTATTACCTCCATACGCTGAATTTTCCTCTGCAGTTTATCACTATAGGCAATCCTCAGGGCCTTTCTGTTCAGATACAGAGCCTCGGGAATTTTTTTCTCCTCCACTTTTTGGCCCGCCTCTGATATCAGCATGGCGTACTGGACCTGATCTTCCTCCGATAGGTTCTGCATCGCGGGGACTGAGGGGGAGGAGACCGCTGTAACGACCTTGCCCCCCTGAGAGGGTGACCCCCCTGTGACAGAGGAGCTGGATGAGGTCCTTTCACTTCGTATACTTTTGACGGATGGAGTCTTGATTTCTAAAACAAAAATATATCATGTGGAGAGCAACTTTTCTAGAAAATGTGTTAAAGAACAAAGAACTAAAGAATATACATGGAAACTGATAATTGTGCAAAATCACTCTCATTTCCATAAAACTGAAATAAAAAGCTCTGATCAGTAAAACTCTGATTCTATTTAACAATATTTAAATTTACAAGAGATGTTTGTAAAACACTTATGCCCCCCTCCCCCCCAAATTGGAATTTTTCAAAGTTCAAAAGGGCATAACTCTGTCAAAATTGGCACGATTGTACCCAAAACAGAACCTTGACCTAGATATTCATCTGATATATCTGTATACCAAATTTCATTTCAGTATGTGCAAAGGTTGAGAAGAAAATGAACAGAAACTAAGTGGACCGACAGACCGACCGACTGACAGCAGCAAAGCAATATGCCCTCCCTTCTTCAAAGGGGGGCATAAAAATTGTTCATATAAAATTTCTTACTTTTTTGTTAAAAGTTACATAAAAGTTGAATTTCAATATCTTTAATATCATATATTGAAAACCATTGATTTGTCAAAGTGAATAAGAATTCGAGGGCCACACCACTTTTTTTTTTTATTTTATTTTATCTTTGGAGTCTCGAATCCCAACATATCTCCTTTTTTGTTCCATGGAAATGACTAGCATTGTCTCTATATACTGTCGATTCCTAAATATATGCGTGGAATAAATTATCGTGTAATTTCGCAAGAAGCACCACAGCACACGCGAAATAATATTTCTCACCCTTACTTTTATGTTGCTGAAATCTATGTAAAATCTCTTGATCAACCGTTTAATCGTGAATTACTATTCTCGCGATTTGCCGTTGAAGAGCTCATTCACGATAATAAGTACTTGCTAAAAATAAGCAATTTACAGTAGTAACTTTGCTTCTCTATACACTGAATATTAAATTATCTTAGCATTATTATTGTTGAGAGAGAAAAAATTGACAGGAAGCCAATTTTATAATGGTTATATACATATAATTTTTTTCATCACCTTTTGTCACCTCAGTGGAATTGTCTTCAATGTATGCCTGTGAAATCAGATTAGAGAATCAAATTAAATTTTTAAGTATGCTAGAAAAACATCTATCAAACTGAAGAAAATGTTGAAAGCATTTTTAAACTCATAATTCACAATCACTCAGAAATTTTTTCTTCACATGCAGATTAAACAGAAACATATTACCTGCATACGCTGAATTTTCCGCTGTAATTTGTCTGAGGGACATAGTCTATAAGCTGTCTGGTTCAGTTGGAGGGCCTCCTGAACCTTACCCTGCGACACCAACTCTTTTGACTGGAGAATCAATCTGGAGTACTTCTCCTGAATACATTGTGCAAGTGTACCTGAAAAATGGAAAGTAGCACAGAGTTTAATTATGTTCAGGTAATTGTATACAGATCTACATGTAGGACTGAAATTTTTATAATACAAATAATGCATGTAATCATATCACTTTTCTAAGGCTTGCTCGAATAATGAATTTTCTCAATCAAGATTCATGCCCATGGGCCTTATAGGTCATCTAACAACTTTCCAACAATCATGACAATTAAATTTGGTTCGTGTTTTTTTAACCCCGTTCCCTGCAGTCATGCATTTTAACGCCTATACCATTTCCTACTTCTAACGCAAAATCATGCATATACTGTTTCCCCGCAATCACGCATATTTCATGCACTTTCAGAAGTACATTTAATCTCTAATTTAATGCCAATTCCCTCCTATTTTATGCTTGGTAAAATCTCATAAAATAAGAAAAGTTATAATCCTATTAAAATATTACGTCATAAATATTTAAGCTAAACTTTAGAGAAACTTGTGCCGTGCTATAAAGTGCTTGCGGGGAAAAGGTAAGGTCATATTTCTATGTAGTGAAGATTTAGTGTATGTTGTGTCACAGTTCAATAAGTTGTAAAGAGTTGAAACCTAAATCCATGAAATTCACAATTTTGAAAGAGGCACCATTTTTTATCATAATTATACTCTTAACATGCGTACTTTGGTTACTTAATACCCAGAGGTAGATCAGAGTAACAAAGAGAAAATGTATTTCCACATTATAATCTCCAGTTGTGTACCCCATCCCACAGGAATCACTTACCCTGAGGCCACATATTTCAACATTTTGGAAATTTTATTTCATCATTAATGGTTGATTAATACCAAAGAGCAGATTTCAATTCAAAGCATAAATTAATTTTCAGACTAAGTTCCCTCTCCCTTCCCAGTACCCCTGACCCAGGGGCCCTGAAATTGAACATTTTGAAAGAGGCCCCTTTCTTCATCATTAATATATACTTAGATCACTGGTATAATATCCAGGTGCAAAGGAAAAGATTTTCAAATAATTCATGCATTTTCACCATATAATCATTGGAGCCCTGCCCTTACACCAGAACCCTGACCCAGGGGCCATGAAATTCCAAAATTGGGAAGAAGCATCCCTCCTCAGTCCTCATCATAACTATGTACTTAGTTAGTTTGTTTAATTCCCAGGAGCAGAGAAGAAGATTTTCAAAGAATTAATGTATTTTCACTATTCTATCAATAGAGCAGCCCCCCCCCCCCCAACACCAGAACCCCTGACCCTGGGGCCATGAAATTCAAATTTTTGGAAGAGACATTCTTGCTCACCATAACTATGTACTCGGTTAATTTATTTAATACCCAGGAGCAAAGATTTTAAACGAATTTACGCATTTTCACTACATAATCAATAGAGCCCCGCCTTATCACCAGAACCCCTGACCCAAGGGCCATGAAATCCACAACTTAGGAAGACAGCCTTATTCTACATAACTATATACTTGGTTAGTTTATTTAATACCCAGGAGCAGAGAAAAAGAATTTCAAAGAAATTATGCATTTTCACTTTATACTAGTAATCTACCGTATAACTGGTTTTAAATGCGGGTGCAAATTTTTGCGATTTGATCCTGAAATAGGTATATTTATTTCTAAAGTCTATTTTTATTGAATTTTATTACAATAAAGTCTATTTTTATTTTTTATTGAACAAACCAAAGCAATTTAAAATACAGTGACTTTAGTGGTTTTGGCCCTACCCCTCAGGCCTCCAGGGGGCACGGACCATGAAATTCACATTTTTTGTTCCACTTCACCCATCGATGCTTTGTACCAAAATTGGTTGAGCAGTTGCGGAGAAGAAGCTGAAAATTATCAAATGTTAACACACAAGGGACGATGGACAATGCATGACAGACGAAAAAGGATAGCAATTGGTCACCTGAGTTTACTCAAATGACCTAACAAAATCTCATGCTGAACAAATTGGTTAATTCTTTGGATTCTGGAAATTCAGTAGTAAAACCTTGGAATGACTATTCATACATTGGGTGTTTACATAGATGACACTACACCTGTGGGTCGTCCGTATGTTGTTATAATTAATGGGTTATTATTAACAGGGTAAATTAGAAACAAAGTCACAGTTTTTTTTGAAACAGAGAGTATAACGTTTACATATAATTTAACAAAATCATTTAATTCAATTGTCCTGACAATAAACAAATGCAAAATAAAGAGTTTATATAATCCCAGTAGCGGAATACATGTATTACACATAAAATGTAATTCTTTTCTAAAAAGCTACATATTAAGATAATAATTTCCAAATCTGCATGGTAAAAACAGTTTTAAAAACACTGTCAAACAAATAGCCAAATTGACATATTGCTATTCGGGTTCTGACATATAAAAAAATCATGACAATACTTTGCAGGACGGATTTGCATCTTTAAGAATTCACTTTATTTCTGCTTGATTACAGACAATTTGTTACCATTTATTATTTTCTGTATAATTTAATCTATTAGCATGATAATATTATACCAACTTCTGGATTTTTTAAAATGTATTTGATAGCATTTAAAATACTTCTGGTATCTTTTGTAAAAATAGCGGAACTTGAATGATCGACAACAAATTCACTTAAAATCATCATTTTCATGATAAATTTGCATATCTTTATATTTAGTACATATTTTTAACTGTGTGGAGGTTGTATAATAAATAGCACCTAGTAGAAAAATCCAGTTATACGGCTTTTTAAAACGAGTTTGATATATTTTACGTAATATTTTTCCTGGCACATAAAATATCAAAATCCAAAAGAAAAAAGCCTGGAAAACAACATATATTTCCCAACTAATTCCAAACAATCAACCAAGAGTTTGACTGCTTGATTTTATTTAAAAAAAAATTTAAAAAAAATCTGCAGAAAGGACATATTTAATTTTATACGATGAATTAAGCGTTGGTCATCACACGCCGTCGGCGACATGAAATTCACATTTTTTGCATACACAGGCCTTATAGAAAATTTTTAATAATTTTTTTTTTTAAAAATCTGCATTTGCCATCTTTTTATTTACACATATTATTTATTATATCGACACAATTTCCAATCCTATAATATGTTAAATTTACATACAAAAAATTAATGCTGAACAAATTTTAATTCGGTGAATTTTGAATATTTACAGGACAATTGTCCGACATATTTTTGACTAGTTTCGGGAACTCTGCACATGGTACATACTCTCTTCACTTATTGATAAGTTGTGCAGTCCCTGACAAGCATCGTCGTCCATTTTACCAGAATCTGAAATGAGTGAAATGAACAGTGACAACAGTTTTTTAAGCAAATTTTCTCAGTTCTTGATCATGTTGATGATGTTCAGAACATGCAGAATGCAAATAAATCAAAATGATTTCTCTCTTCTAAATGGTGACAACATCAAAAATGGTAACTTTCTACTATACATGGGTTAAACTATCGTTTTGCAGTCTTTACCCAACCAAGTCAACATCAACGAATGAACGATGTGTAACCCATGATCATTATCATGTCATCATAAATGTATTAAACATTCATTTTTTAAATTTTATAGTGGATCAGTCTAAAATCATAATCCCTTAATACTTTCATCTAATTAAATACCTGTTGTAACTGCATATACATAAATTATTTATAGAAAAAGTGTCCATTGACAACGCAATGTCTTAATTTTTCATTGACAACTTTTTCCCTCGGTTAAAAATTCCGCCATTTTCGCTTAAGATGAAAAGATAAGTCGTTCTTAGAATTGGTTTTTTGGGAAGTTCTTTACAGGTCCATTTTAGTCATTTGATATGAAACTTAATATGATGATGAAATGATTAATCGATACAAAATAAAAAGAGATACTATTTACTTTTTTTTTAAACTTTATTTTCATTCATTTTTTTTATACTATCCGTAACTCCTCTTGACTCTTCATCAAGGTCACATGTTCTACTTGTACTTTCACTTTGTGGGAAAATGTCAAAACTGAAGCTGTACTATGATCTCATGTCACAGCCCTCGCGGGCGCTATATATGTTTGTGAAAAAGAACAAAATTCCATTTGAAGACAAGGCACTTGCACTACGAAATGGTAATATGGTGTAACGTTCTGAATGAAATGATAAAAAAGCTTGCAATTGACTGTAATGATCATCCCACTTTTTGACCTATGAAGTATGAACTGATGGAAAAAAGATAATCGTATCCCGTCATTGCAAATGAGATTTTCTTCTCTTTTATTTTTGTATTATTTTTAACAAAAGTTTAGATGCAATGCATTGCTCTGCACAAGTTTGATTGGATATAGTGAGTTGCACTAGCTGTAATATTATAGATACTGTTGGACAGAGTAGTACTTGACACATTTAACTCAGGTTTTATAGCTGAGGATAAATGTTTTTCCATGCAAAAAAAAAATGTAGAATAACTTCATAAAATTATAATGTTTTGATTGAAGGGGAAAAAAACTGTACTTGTAGTTCCACACGAGCTTTAATTGAAATTTTCTGCAACTGGTTTTAATAAGTTGTTTTCAAAAATTGTCAATTTTAACTTGGCTAAAAAGAATGAATGTTCTATCATTCAGTTTTAAATGTGTTACAGAATACAGACCCAATGGCTAGAGCTTGTCCTGAGATACAGTTAGATTATTCTAACTAACACCAATTAAGACTAATGCATTTAGACATATATTTTTTTATCAGAACTCCAGTAAAATATGGAAGCTAACTTGCAGACACCTTTGTGTATTTTTTTTCCCACAAATAAATTTAGAACCAAAACCGAATGAAAACTACAGGAGTGTAGCTTATTTTGAACTCATTTTATTTCTTTACAGGAGAGCACAAACAAGAGGCTTACAAGAAAATAAATCCGTTCCAGCTGGTGCCAGTTATTGATGACAACGGATTTATCCTGACAGAGAGGTCTGTCTAAATTCAAGGTTTAATGAAAATTTAATGATGCTGATGCATACAATTCAACATTAAAGGTAGCACCTGTTTGTGTTTCAGTGTGGCCATTCTCCAGTACCTGTGTAGTAGGTATGACCTCCCAGAACACTGGTACCCCAGAAAAGACCTCAAGGCTCAGGCCAAAGTTAATGAATACCTCAACTGGCAGCATGTCAACACCAGGATGAATTGTGCAATGGTATTCAGACATCTAGTAAGTCTACTTTTTCATGCAATTTACAAGATTCTTTACTGTACTTTATTCTAGGTTCAAATCAAAACATAGCCAAGGCAAAATAATTCTTGAATCTCTGATTCTGGCATTTCCGCAATAGCGTCAGGAACTGATTTGTTCATGAAACTATATGAAGTACATTTGTTGGTTTTCTGATTTTCATTCATTTTGGGTGTGCTGAATTATTTGTTTCCTGTATTTGAGGGGAGAGTGGCTACAAGTAGGCCTTTCAAGTACCTTATGACTTCAACCAAAAGAAACATGCATATTATGATATACATGTAAAGAAAATATTTGTTAATATGTGCATTTATAGTAAATATATGTATAGCAAAAATTAATACTTGAGTGCCACCTCAAAATATTCTAAATACAAATTGAGAATTGTTAATGGTAATCTTTCAGGTAATAATCCCCCGAGAAACAAAGAAACCAGTTGACTGGGAACAAGTAAACGCTATGAAGAAGAGAGTGTCCTACGTCGTGGATCACTTGGACAAAAGTTTCCTGAAAGATAAGCCCTATCTGTGTGGGATGGAGGTTTCTGTGGCTGATCTGCTCTGTATCTGCGAGCTGATGCAGCTTAACGCAGTCCACGAGGAACAGCTATACGAGTCCAACCCCAACATTAAGGCGTGGTCAGATCGCGTGAAGAACACACTTAATCCAGAGTTTGAAGAAGCACACAAGATTGTTTACAGAGTGAGAGATATGTACAAGACAGTCCTGGCTCCATCTTTTGCCAAGTTATAGTTCATAAAGATGGTAATCTCTGCCTAGAAACTGTGATAAACTGTCAAAATTTTAATGCTTTAATTACGAGAATGTACTTAGTATTCAAGATATGCCAGTAGTAGTGAACACAAGATTTGATGTTTGAAATATGTACATTAGTACATATTAATGATACAGAACTATTGTAATATGATATTATCATATCTGTTTCTTGTTCATTTATGTTCTTTTATATGATATTGTGGGGTCAGTAGCAAGGCTATTACCCAGTACAATAAAATCATTTGTAAGAAAGGCTTTTTCAGTACATGACTAACCTAGGCTGCTATCTTGATCCTCAGGACATGAATTTCACAATACGTCTTATAGGGCCGTTTTGCTTAAAAAAAGATGGTGTTTCTGACACAGTGGTGCTCCCTTATGGCAGCTTATGTTGAAGGCTAAAGTTTCTGATTTGCAATTCAAACTCCAAGGTCAAGAGACAGAAATCATTGATAATCTAAGAAACATCTTTTTGCAATGAATACTGTGAGATATGAAATCTTTGCACCAACCTTTCATTAGTTATGGCCAAGATTAAAGATTTACAAATGTAGGCTGATCTCCAAGCTCAAAATTTCAACAAAGAGCTGGGTAATATGGAAGTCTTCCTATGTTGTCTCTCAGTGTCAAAGTATTTTAAATTTGTTTGTGCAAATAAAGATGACCATTGTATTGTTTTTGGAAGAGTATCACAAACATCATATATATCTTATATAAAAGTCATAGCACCAACCATTCAAAAGTTATGGTCTAGGTTAATTTTTTTTTCAAAAGTAGGACAATTTCATAAGGTAAAGTTTTTTTTTTAATTTACAAAAAGGTGCCTGTAAAGTATGAAATCCATTGCTTCATCTGTTCAATAGTTAGGGCTAAGGTAAAAGTTGGGTAAAATTTTTCAAAAAAAAAAAAAATGGGTTAAACTCCAGGGTCAAGAGGCTAAAAAGTTCATACCCATATGCCATTCATAAACATTATTACCTTATGATAATGCGTCTTCACTTTGCCTAACAAAGTCTTTCAAGTTTTTGCTATACTGCCTTTTCAAGTAGACTAGCACAGTGGCGGATCCAGGAATCTTGAAAGAGGCGTGTTGTGACCAGCTTTGGGTCCGAGAAAGGGCTCAAAACCACACCAAAAAAAAAGATTTATTAAATCTTATGCATATTTGGGGGGGGGGGGGGGGGTAGTACTTATTTACAATGTATTCCATATGAAAAATCCAAAAAATAACATAGATTTAACGATTAACGAAAAAAGTCATACCCCTGGTATAAATACCAGGGGTATGACTTTTTTCGTAAATCGTTAAATTTATGTTATATTTTGGTTTTTTTAATATGGAATACATTGTAAATAAGTACTAGAAACATAATTCATGAGAAAAAAAAAGAAAAAAAACTTTGACCAGGGTGTATAAGGGGGGGGGGTCCTGTCCACAAGTACCCGTGGATGAGACAGAACTGATATATTTTTAAAATTATTTTTTACACACGAATTTGGTAAAAATTAAGGAATACACTGAAAGACAAGAATTGTTTGTGAAATACTGATGTCCCCGTGTGGCAGCTTTTGGCGGAAGGTTAAATTTCTCAAATAGAAATAAATTCCAAGATCAAGAGATAAAAATGATATTACTAAAGAAAAGACTTTCTTAATACCTGTGAAATATGAAAGCACAGGATCAAGGTTTAAATTTAATGTACCCAGAAGATGGCCTTGTCATAAAAAAACACTAAGTATTAAAAAAAATATATGACCATTGTCCAAGGTTTACGTTTTTCAAATGTAAGCCAAAATCCAAGTTCAAAATAGTTGGTGTCTAAAGAAAGGCCTTGTCACAAGAAATGCACCTGTGAAATATGAAGACCATTTAAAAGTTATGCCCAAGGTTAATTTTTTTAAGTGGGCCAAACTCAGATGTCAGGGTCAAAAATACTTATTTCCATAAAAAGTCTTGCAACAATGAGTACACATGTTAAGTGCGAAAGCCGTTGCACTAAATGTTTCAATTTATGGTCGTTATTAACGTTTGATAAATATTGGTGGAAACGCGGGTCAAGGTCAAGTACTAGTATGTAGTTACCAAAAGAAAGACCTTGTCACAAGGATACACAAATGATGTGAAATATGAAAGCCACAACTCCAACCAGTCAAAAGTAACGGTCCCGGCAAGGTAAAAGTTATTGTGGACAGACAGACAGACTAACAGGGCAAAAACTATTTAGCCCCGAATCTTTGACTACGATGGCATATATAAACCTTGAGGGGGATGTGGGGAGAGGTCGATCGTTGTGTAACTTCAAATTATGTCTGCCTACTTGTTAATTTCCGTGCACTTCAACCTTGAAAGCTCTTAGGCTATTATCAATGTCGCTTAAAATGCGGTCTTCGTTATCCAGACTGTATCAGCCTTCTTTAAAGCATCCTTGCTATTAACTGAAGTGTTGATATAAAACCAGGTATGTCAAAGTCAAGGTCACTAACATTTAAAGTAACTGATTATATTGAATATTGTTTTTATCATGTATGTCGGTCAGACTCAGGTTTTATCTGTTTAACAGCTCCGATATTTTTTTTCGTGGGAGTTATAAGAAGCACTGGCGGATTTAAAGGGGACGTGGGGGGCGCACGCCCCCCCCCCCTCCATTAAAATTTTCAAATTATGATTTGACTAATATTAATAATGGCATATTTTTGGTACATAACTAACCAATACCACTATCATTGTGCCTGTTTTTACTCTTTTAAACATAGGAAAACCCAGGAGCTTTCAGGGGCTTCGCCCTCTGGGCCCCCACCATTCAAAGTATGATATGATTAGTATTAATAATTCTGTGCTTTAGTACATAACTAGCCAATACCACTATTAGTAAGTTAGTAAATCGTTTATTGTAGTGGCATTTGTTATAATACAAGGAGAAAGATTCAATACAATTAATATTCAAACACCCGGACCTATCTGTCACTTTTAACAAAAATAAATAAAAAAATATACACTATTATTGTGCCTAATTTTACTCTTAAAATACATGAAAATCCAAAAGTTTCCGGGGGCTTTGTATACCAAATTTCATGAATGAATGAAAAGTGCAAATAATTGGAATTTTTCTCTGAGTCCAGGGGCCATAACTCTAGCCAAACTGGCTCGATCGTACCCAAAACAGAACTTGATCTAGATAATCTTATGATAGATCTGTATAAAATTATTAGAGAAGATTTCCTTCAATATTGGTTTAAACAAAGAGATGATGGTTGTCTATCGGGTAAACTTACAACATATTTCTATATAAAAAGAAGTTTTGAAATTGAAAAGTATTTATTATTAAAAAATTTTGAACAAAGAAAAATTATATGCAAATTTAGAGTGAGTTCACATAACCTCAGAATAGAAAGTGGAAGGTACGAAAAAAAACTAAACTCTGCTGGAGAGCAAACCACCCTTGCAAGAAATGAAAGAATTTGTAGAATGTGCGACATGAACTGTGTGGAAGATGAGATACACTCACTGATTGAATGTCCGTTATATAAGCATGATAGAGATGACTTTTTTAATATTATTGCTAAAAGTAATAAAAATTTCTATACTTTAACAAATAAAGAAAAAAATTTTATGGATTATGTCTAATGAAGATGACATGTTGCTTATCAAGCTGGGTAATTTTTAATCAATATCTTTAAAATAAGAAATAGCAAATTATGCAATGTTAAACAAAGAAACAAATAAATACAAAAGAGTAATATATAGAAATACTTTAAACAAACTTTTATTTACAGTATATTGATTATGTATGTTGTAATCCCCAACTGCTGTAACACCATTTATCTTTTGTTAGTTACTGCTATCAATTTTGAATTTCTGCTTGTATGTTTTTTTTTCCTTATTACTTGTATGCCCTGATGGGCCCCAAATTGGTATTAATAAATCTTATCTTATCTTATCTATACCAAATTTCATTTCAATATTTGCAAACTGTGCAAAGAAAATGAATGAAAATTGAAAAGTTCATATAATTGGAATTTTTCTGAGTCCAAGGGGCATAACTCTATCTAAATTGGCTCGATCGTACCCAAAACATAGATATTCTTATGATAGATCTGTATGTACCAGATTTCAATTCAATATGTGCAACCTCTGCAAAGAAAATGAACAGATACTGCAAATAATTGGAATTTTTCAAAGTCCAGGGGGCATAACTCTATCCAAAATGGCTTGATCTATCCAAAACAGAACTTGATATTCTTATGATAATAAAAATGTCCATAACTCAATTCCCAGCAAAAGAATATTTTCAGAATTTGCCCTCACACCCACCCCCTTTGACACCCCTAGGCACACTATGAGAGAGGAGAAAACTCCTTTTGGAGGAGAGGACACAAATAAAGAACCTGCAACAAGTTAAAAAAAATGCTTTGAATTAGGTTTCGAGGGCCATAATTGAGGATTGGTTAAAAATTTTTAATTCGGAATATGTGAGAATATATACACCGAGGCATATTTTCAGTACCAGTAATATCGCCCTTTTCTGTAATGTCTTAGCTTTTACATTTGAACCTAGTCGCGCATAGTCTCAATATTTCTCCAAATTCTCTATGATAAAATTTTTGATACCCTTAACTCAAATTAGGCAAAAAGTGGTTACTATTGGTATACATGTATATTATATTAGACAAAATCGTGAACCATATGTCTTGGTCACCATGGTACCATCCCCTAAAGATTAAAAAATGGCATTTTTGAAGAGTTCCATACTGGATGTTTGCAGGAATGGAAACATATGGCATGACACATCAATCAATCAATCAATCAAATTTGATCAATCAATCAAATTCAATAAAACAGCATTCTGAATAACATCTTTTTAAAAAGTGTAAACAAGGTGAATGTTTTCGCTCGTTTGGGACAATTTCCAGCTTAGTTCGGACTTTCAGTCTGAAATTAACACAAATTTCCTTGACTGTTGAAATATACATGGGATAGAAATATTCGGGCAAATGCCAATTAGTGTATCGAATAACCAATAACATTGTCTCGTCCGGCAAAGAGGTGGAACTTAAGTCGTCTCATCGTTGTCAACAACAATTTAAAGTTCCTATTGTTTTTAATTTCATATCCAATGAGAATCTATTCGCCATTTGATAGACGCTAATTACGTATAGCGCCGAGAATGCCACGCCTTACTGAAAGTCCAACCTTACCTGGAAATGGTTCTATAACCAGAACACAGCAACCAAAGTTCAATCGGTATATATTTCTGTAATATTGGGGAAAATTTCATAAAAATCGGTGACCATATGACACGTATAGTTAAAGTGCATGGTTGCAAAGAATACTGTAAATTCCTTATTTTTCGCGAGTACTTATTACCTCAAAAGGACTCTTTAACGGCAAATCGCGAGAACAATAATTCGCAAATAAACGGTTGATTAACCCATTTTACATGGATTTCAGCAGCATAAAAAATAAAGAGAGTACTTTATTTCGCGAGGGAAGCGTCTCGCGAAATTACGCGATAATTAATTCCTCGCGTATAAATAGTAATCTACAGTAATTATAAAATGCAAGTACCCCGATGATTGATTGATTGATTGATTGTATATTGTTTAACGTCCCTCTCGAGAATTTTTCACTCATATGGAGACGTCACCGTATGCCGGTGAAGGGCTTCAAATTTAATATACTCGGCACTCAGGGCCATTGAGCAGTGAGGGTTCTTTAACGTGCCAGCGCCTACCTTGACACGGGACCTACGTTTTTAAGGTCATATCCGAAAGACCCGTGACTTTCACTTCTGATGCCGAGCGCTTGGCGAAGGAACAGTCACAACCTATTTTTACGTCTAAGGTTTGACGCGGCGCCGTGAACGAGAATCGAACCCGCCCTCCCGATCACGAAGCGAACGCTCTACCACTAGGCTACCGTAAACGGTAGCATCCCGATGAAGTGATGAATCAAACTTGTCCAAGCGAAGTTACAATAATAAAGTCCAGCATTGAAATATATAAATGGAAATTTGCAAAAAATTACATTGTACACTTCAAGTTAAGGGCTACAATAATGAGTTTAAAATATATCCACTTTTTTGTGATTCGGGTGAGCATTGTGGCCTATATAGGCATTTAGTTTTCGAAAATTAGATTTCATTTAATTTGGGTAAGGATTTGGTTATCCAGTCGATAAAATTATTCAAAACTTTGAGATCAAATTGAACCTTCTCTCGATATTTTTAGTATGCATAACACCCCTCCTCTTACTTTTTGTTTGGTTTCTATAGACTCGTCCTGCGTGCTTTCGAATTCGGTTAGATTAAATACATGCATCTCACTGAGCTGTGTCACTCTATACATGCATAAGGAATGTAAATAAATTCACATGACCAATCTTGTGACCGAATTTTTCTGGTTCGATTTCTATGCATATTAAGACTGGGAAGATTATACCTAGGAATGCATACCCTGAAGCTGTTCTATGATTTAATGTCCCAGCCCTCCAGGGCTGTGTACATTTTTCTTAAAGCGAATAATATTCCATTTGAAGCTATACAAATTGCTATTAGAAATGGTACGTATAGAAATTTATAATTTTGATTTAGACTGACCAGGTAAGATACTTATACAGGTCGGTCAAACGACTACAAGTAGGTCATACAGGTAAACTGGGTATTCCCATTCAAAATAAGCCATTTAGAGAGAGAGTTGTCTTTGTTTGAGTAACATTTAGGTAAGGAGGGAATATGACACGATACCATAAATTTAATGTTTTTGTGTCAATTTCAATCCTCATTTCGTAAATTCTTTTTCTTCGTCGAAGAATTACCTGTAATATTGCTTCTCCATTTCCTTTTGAAGCATAATTCTACGGACTTCGTAAATGTTTTCTTATTAAAAAAATCCTTAGAAATAATTTATTTAACAAAGGGAAAACGAAAATAAGAGTGAACAACAATATGAGTTTCATTTTATTAATTCGCTAATCATTCAGTTCGATGGTGGATATTACGAATCGATTGATGAATTTTCTAAACATCACTACAGTAAAGCCTAATTTTACATGTTCTCATGCCTGGCTTCTCCGGTTTCGTCTATATGTATTTTCAGGTGATCACCTAAAGGAAGCATACACCAGGATCACTCCATTTCAGCAGGTGCCCGTCATCGACGACAATGGATTCGTCCTCACTGAAAGGTGAGAACTTTTTCATTGAAAAGAAAACGTAGAAATTAGGGTGTTAAAATGGATGTATTTAAAAGTTCCTCTTCTTCTAAATGCCCTCTTCTTCTATAATACAGGACAAATGTTTAGGCTATTCCTTTTTTAAGGTGTATGTGCGGGCGGGGGGTGGGGTGGGGTGTTTGATTTTGTCTGTTGACTCCCTTTTCTTAAGTTCCTGAATCTGCTATTGCTTGTCATGTCTTTCACTGACAGAACCCAAAGTAACACTACATACTTTTCATATACTAAGTTTACTCCATTATATTTAAGTATTTTCCTTTCCTTTACTTTCAGTGTAGCAATTCTGCAATATTTATGTATGAAATACAAATTGCCAGACCACTGGAATCCCTTGAAAAATCCAGAAAGTCACGCACGAGTACAGGAATACCTACATTGGCAACATGCAAACACTCGATTTTATGGAACCATGCTGTTTAGAATACTGGTTTGTGCATTAGTGTCCTATTTAATTGTTGCTATTAAAAATATGCTAGTCATGTCATTCCAACGCAGCAATGTGTGTAGAAAGATAACAGCCATATACGAAATATAATTCTTCGAGTAGTATTTGAACATCATCAGTTTTGAAACTAAATTCAATGCTTAAAGAATCTCGATCCCCCAAATTACTAAATGATTAAAATTCAAGAAATAAATTTTAAAAAAGTAAGCATTCGATCGTCAAAATGAGCAAGAACTTTTCACGAATGGTTATGAAAAATTCTTCAGATTAGGCACGTGGCATCGGAGGGAGGGGGGGGGGCTTTTTTCTAGACAAACCCTCCCCCTTTTCATCTCCACTACAGCGCCTCACTAACAATGTTGCATTGGGCAATAGGCATGACCTATAGAAATTCGAAATAAGATAAATGTTTATATACAGTGTATAGTGCTTCAGGTAGAAATTTGTATCCACTGCTATACATAAAATAAATATAAATGACTGTTCAGTAAAATATAAATTGACATACTATTATTTTATTTCATTCATTGTTATTTATTTTTTTACATTTCTTCCATAGCTCAGACTACCACAAGAAACAAAACAACCGGTAAACAAGCAGGAAGCAGAGGAATACAGAAAAGCAAATATGGCTGTTGTCCGCCATCTTGACAAATATTTCTTGAAGGACAAGAAATTTCTCTGTGGCGAAGACATTTCAATAGCCGACATTCTGGCTGTTTGCGAACTGATGCAGTTACATGTGATTGACGAGGATTATATCATTTATCAGAACGACAAGGTCAAGGCGTGGTTTAATCGCGTGAAGGATCGACTGGGACCGGCTTTTGATGAAGGTCACAGAATTGTATATAAAGTTCATGACCTTTACAAGAGTAGCTGGAAATCCGAACTAGCAAAACTTTAAACACACCATCGTACACAATAATTGATTTCTATGTTATATTTTTAATGTCTCATTTCCTCTTTATGTACCTTTTGGGATACATAACGTCATAGGGTCATAGAACTAATTAATAAAGTTATAAACAACCTTTCCTAATAGAGATTGTTCTATCTGACGTATCCGTATCCGTATACGTATCCGTATATCGAGATATGAAAGGCATCTCGATCCCGATGTCTAAACAATCTGGTTACATTTCCATCGTTTCATGTTTGATTTTTAACCTCATTCACTAAAAAATGATATGTAGTGTGATATTTTTAATAAAATACATATCAGTTGCTATACACGCCTTATGCATCAAGGGGAGGGGGTAAAAGTTTAAAAATAAAATTAGAAAAACAAGCATGATTTGAATTATTTAAATGTGTAGAAAATTGTTAAAATCTCTCTCTCTCTCTCTCTCTCTCTCTCTCTCTCTCTCTCTCTCTGGGTATTCATTCTTCATTCTAAAATTAACATTAATATTTACAAGAATTTTACACGACATATCCCCAAAAATATATAATTATATATATAGTTAAACCTCTTTATCTCAAACTTGTAAATTAATTGTAAAAACATGTAATTGTAAATTAACTGGGAAAGATTTCACCATATTGCAAAACAAATGTGTATGGGGGATTTACTGAAAACGTCCATCCTGTTTTTCTTTTTTTATCATGTTCTATTTCATTAATTATAACGTATTTGATGGTCATAGTTCTTCAGAAAAAAGATTGGATAGCTGGTAATTCTGAGGCGGTTTAAATACACTCCCTAAATTGTAGGTCGATAGCCGTATCATGGGCGGCGCAGGCAAATTGTGGGGGCGTTAATTGAAGGGGGGCTAACCCAACAAAAAAGGTAAACCCCACTTTTAAATGCCTATATTATGTCTAATGTCTATATTTGCAAGAAAATTGAGAGAGGGGGGCTTAAGCCCCCCCCCCCCCCGATTCTGACGCCTATGCGTATCCAGGGTTTCAAGGAGCTTGAGGATTGATTATGTACAATTTCCGACAGTGTTGCGATTAAACGCAGTATATGTAGTACTCGATTGATTTAACATATATAAATGTTAGGTTACGATGTATCTTCCTTTCTTAAACTATTCTACTTGCATATTAACTTCTTTTTATGAAAGTTACATGATCGAGTTTATAGTGAACAAAGCAAGCTCTGAAAAACTTTGATACATGTATTTCATCACTGTAATTTTTCTTTTAATGCGTGATTTTTTTCTTGGCTACATTGAAGCAGTTCCTTCTCTTCACTGTGCACAATGATCTCGATCTCGGCCAAATTGTATTTATAAATAAAAAAGAAAGTCGGATAAAAAAGAGAAGAAAATTAGCACGATGGACAAGTAGACTTAGCAAAATAAGATGTATTATTTTGAAAATTTTGAGCCATATTAATTTTGATCTTAGCATAAAAAAAGATTTGAGATTATATTTTTTGAATACCATATTCTGAAATAGTTTTTATATCAAACCACAAATGATTAATGAATGATAGTCAAAAGACGTTATCAAATGACGTGTGTGCACATTGTGAGGCACAGACGCCGGAACTGGGGGGGGGGGGGGGGGGGGGCGGCGTAGGATAAGCTCCCTTTCCACTTTCAAAAGGCATGTTGTATTGCAGTCAAAGAAGAGTAAGTGGTAGTGTTAAAAAATGGCAATGATAAAAGTTCGACCCCCCCCCCCCCCCCCCCGCCCGAACACACAAAATAGTGTTTAATTAATTTTTTTTGCTTGTCAGGGTTTTTCAGGACTTATATTTTTCTCTTTCAATTAGCCCCCCTCCCTACTTTCAATTTGCTTCTGACGCCAATGTGAGTGGAGGTGAAACGAGGGAGTTGAACAGGCTCTTCTATGCATATACTCAATACTTGTAACGGTCCTGAAGCGAATTATGAAATCAGTTTGAATAGTCTCTTTAAAAACGGCTACAGTGTTTTAGCAATCGCGTTGATGATAACGTATTTTGTATTTCAATGTGTGAGGGGGGGGGGGTATACCGTTATACCGTGTAAAGGTATATGACAAATTCAGAATATATCAATAAAATATCCTGATATTAAGCGAGAGGAAAAAGAGAAAGGAGATACAAATATTTTGAAACAAAATGAATTTAATTTTAAAACAAAATAGTTAAAATGAAGTATTTTAAACTTGAATTTATTTGAGGGATGAATTTTCTGATAGTGATTCCATTTCAAAAGCCTTCAGCTCAATACTTGTTGAATGTGCAAAAATATCGACTAAACTTATTAAGAGAGGACCTAGGCATAAAACTCGTAAAAATAAGAAAAAATGTTCTCACAGTCATGTTCTGACTGAGAATTACAGTAAAAAATTATGAAAAATAACAAGAACCCTTTTAATGGAGAATATAGGAAAATGTTCTATACATACAAGGCAAAATACAGAAGATTATGTAAATTTGAGGAGCAAAATTACAGAAACACAATATGTAATGACATTAACAACAATATTAATAAAAATCCAAAGTCATTCTGGAAATTACAATAAATTAGATAAAATCAATACTGGACAAATTTCATCTCATGATGTTCACCCTGAGGAATTTTATCAGTTTTTTAAGAAACTTAACAAAGCTGACAACAATCACAATAATTTTCATAAAAGTATAATAGATAAATTTCATGTCTTGAAAGAAAAACTACATCATAACCATTTCCTTGAACCAGAAATTACTGTCGCTGAAATAAGGAATGCCCTTAAATCCCTGAAAAATGGAAAGAGTTCTTCTATAGATATGATATCAAATGAAATGTTAAAAAATGGGGGATCTGTAATGCTGAAACCTCTTGAAAAATTATTTAACTTTATACTTAATTCTGGTATATTCCCAAAAAGTTGGAATGAGAGCTACTTAGTTTTACTGTATAACGGGTAATAGGCTCGATCCTAATAACTACCGAGGTATATCAATTACTTCAAATCTAGGAAAACTTTTCAACAGAATAATACATACTAGGCTACTTGAATTTGTAAACTCTGCATCACTGATAAGTGAAAACCAAATTGGTTTCAAGGAAAATTGTAGAACATCAGACCATTTATTCTCAATAAAAACAATAATTGACCACTACAAAAACAAAAAGGTTTATGCTGCTTTTATTGATCTTAGAAAAGCATTTGACACTGTATGGAGATTAGGTTTATTTTATAAACTTCTTGAATTAATATTTCCCAAAAAATGTTCAATATTTTATTTTCAATGTATAGTAATACAATGAGTAGAATCAAATTTTCTGATGGATTAAGTCTCTCTAAGCCCCACACTTTTTAATGTTTTTATTGATGGTATTGTCCATGACTTACAAAATGGAAATTGTGATCCTGTACAAGTAAACAATATGCATGTAAATTGTCTGTTATATGCTGATGATATTGTAATCTTCTCAGAAAGCAAAAGCGGTTTACAAACCAGTCTTGATATTCTCAGTAACTATTGCTCAAATTGGAAACTCCAAGTTAATGTAGATAAATCTAAAGTTATGATATTTAATTCAAATGGCAAGCCTCAAGGAAATGAATTTAGTTTTAATGGTAATGCAATACAAATTGTACCAAGATACTGTTATTTAGGTATTATGATGAAATGTAATAGGAAGTTTAATTTAGCAACAGCTGTGCTTATTGAAAAGGCCAGAAAAGCATGTTTTAAAATGAAAAGAATTATTGGATTTGATAACCCATGTAAACTTTTAGAAAAACTCTTTGATGCTATTGTACTTCCAGTTCTTCTCTATTGTAGTGAAATATGGGGAGTGGATCTCTCATCCAAAGATATTTCAAATGTTGAAAATTTTCACTTAAAATTCATTAAAGACATCCTTGGAGTGCACTGCAAAACATCCAATGCTGGTTGTTTAGCAGAACTTAAAAGACTACCACTTTGGTCCAAAATTTCCCTCTCAAGTATCAAATATTGGAATCACCTGAAAACTTCTGATTCTTTGGCCTTTAAACTTTACCAATCCACAATTAACTGTAATTCTTGGACTAAGAAATTATTTTCTATTCTTGATAATCTTGGATTCTCTAACATTATAAAATATACAGGTTCCATCCAACACCTTTTACCAAACATTAAACAAAGAATCATAGATCAGTGCACTCAAGAGCAAACATCAAAAATCTTTGGTTCAGAAAAACTTGATCTCTTCAAGAAAGTATACTCAGGAAAAAGAAGTCCTTATGTTGATTTACTCAAAAAAAGATCTGAGAGATCCTCTCTTAGTAAAATTAGACTAAGCGCACATAAACTTGCAATAGAAAAGATATATTTCCACATCAAGAAATGAAAGATATTGTAATGTTTGTAATACTGGTGTGATTGAGGATGAAATACATTTTCTTTTTCACTGTAATTCTTACTCTAAGCTAAGAAACGCATTCTTTAGTAATATTTATAACATAACAAAGAAAAATATTAATCTTAGCAATGAGAAATATATGCTACAATTATGTATAAACAGTAATATACAAAAAGTCTTGAAAGTTACTGTTAAATATATCAGAGACTGTTTTGATCTTAGAAGTCAATTACTTGACAATTCTTGAAAAAATATGTAAACATTATTTAATGTTGTTCAGTGGGCCTTTGCCAATTATTGTAATTGTGTTTGTGCCAATAAAGTATTTGTATTTGTATTTATTCATTTTCTTTTTTTTTTAATAAATATTTTTCTACGAAATGATAGAGGTTTACAGCAGTTTAGTATTTTTAATAGAAAAATTGCCATTTGCTATTTCCAGATGCATGACTGTGGCTTATTTAACGGAAATTGTATTAAATGGTTGAGACATCGGGATCGAGATGCCTTTCATACAATGAAGCGTATTGAAGCGGTAAAATTTTCCGTTTGGATGAAACGTTTTGGGTCATGTTTTGAACGTCAATTATAACATAATGACACGCTCATATATTTAGAAACGAGAAAGAAATATTCGTCGTAATGTTTTAGGACACCCCACTCTTCGCGACAAGCAACATGAGTTACACTGAAATGGAGCTTTAAAAAGATTAGAAGGGAGAGTTAGGGACTCCCCGCTTCTGTAAAATACAAATTGCAACAAATATTTGCATATTTTTTAATGTATCATGTCTGTTGAAATTACCAGAACACATGTTTCGGTCGAACACGTGTTTACTCGGTGTTTATTTAGACTGTCAATTTGATTGGCTATTATATTTATAGAAAACCTGTTCTGCAGGTACTCGAAGAAACAAATTGACCATTTTATCTATTTCTAAAGAAGTGGGCGTGTCATCCCATGACAAACAACGTTCTAAAGATAGCTCAAAACGTTCCATTCGAACATAAAATTTTACCACTTCAGTGCGCTTCATTGTATCTCGATACGGATACGGATACGTCAGATAGAACAATCTCTATTGATACCGATATTTTGCATACTTTCTGTTTACATTTTATATCAAATTATGAAACCCCTCTCTCTCTCCCTTCTGTTTGGCGCGTCTGACTGAATGAGAGACACAAGTCTGTAGAATATATAATGAATTGTGTCAAGGGTCCAACGGCAGCGAGTTGATCCTGGACTCTTGACGTTGTGATGATGATAACTACATGTAGACATAATTGTCTTGTATGTTGATATACTTTTCTAGTATTATGTCTTCCATATGTATTGGAGCAGAAATCTGCTGACATGCCAATGCTAGTACGCAAAGCACTTGAAAAAAACAAAAAAACAAATGTTTTTAATTAAAATGTTTTATTCTTCAAATATTAGCAATTAAGGAGTGAAGTAAAAAGTTCAATCTTAATTTAATCAAATATTTAATACACAAAGTTTTCATCAAGATCCCGTTTTCTCTTATAGATACTAATTCTTTGAAAATTTCTTTTCAAAGTGCGTTAATATCGACCATATTAACGCACTTTGAAAAAATGTGTATGGCTTGGTCAATATTCTTGCAAATCTTAGGTATGATGAATAATTGAACCTCAGTGTTTGGAAACTCTTTGGTGATGAGGTCACTTAAGGATGTGCAAGTGAGCGATTTTGATTCTTCCATACTTTGAAAATTCTTTCACTCTTACATGTTTTACTATACTTAATTTATCCAGTATACATGCATTTTATATGCAAACTAAAAATTTATTGAAAGTTTTCAACGTCGTACCAGCTATGCAAATACATATATTTGGGTGTAGCATAGGCTTCGGTACCGAGAAGGGGGTCTTAGCAACACAAATGTTTTGCATAGATATATAAGCATTGGAAATTGGGGCTTACCTTTGATGGGGGGGGGGGGGGGGTCCACTTTCAATTTTCTACCGACGGTTATGTACAATGTATAAGAAAAAGGTTGGGCTGAGAGACCTTCTACTCGTCTTCTCCTTGTTCCCAATGAAGTTAAATGAGTACATGTAAATTAAAACGTTTTCCGAAAGAAAAAATTAATACAAATTGTTTGTCTCAATTACTTAGATCTCATATGTGGAGCGGAGCAGTCAGAAACCCTTGACTTGGGAAGATGGTAAAATCTAAGAATAGAGTTTTTGTTTTATACAATTTTTTTTCAAAGTGCGTTAAAAGTCCCCATGGCAAAAATATTTATGTACATTCTTAACGCATTTTGAAATATTTTTTCAAAGTGCGTTGAGTGTGTCCCAAATTTAACACACTTTGAAAACATTTTTCAAAGTGCGTTGAATTTGAAAATTTTTTTCAAAGTGCGTAATTTTTTCAAAGTGCGTTGCCACAGCGCTGTTTTGGTATTTACTGCCAAAAAGTGATATCACCTATTCAGCTTTGGATTTGGTGATATCACTTATTCAAATAAGTGATACCACTTATAAATTCGAATAGGTGATATATCACTTAATTATTCCAAAGAATGATATTACTTATTTATTTCAAATTGGTGATACCACTTATTTGAATCTAGGTGATATCACCATTTCAATTTGAATAGATGTTATCACCTTTTCTAATAGATGATATCACTTTTTGGCTGCAAATACCAAAACGGCGACACATAGATTCTACAATTAAATTCATTTCAAGTTCATTTTCTCTGTCCAGCCTCAAAATGTTTTATACCCTGAACCTTAATTAGGTTCATAGCTTTGTGAGGTCTTGAAATGAAGGAAACACGTGTACCGTTACAATAGTATTGTCAAAATCGTCAGGGAATATCAAATTTTATACGACGTTAGACAACAAAGTTTAAAATTCCTCATTTCTGGAGATCTGACTGAGATTTTTAAAAGATTTGGACCCCCATATAATAACTCTCTCTCTCTCTCTCTCCATGGTTAAAATCATTTTAATTAAAACTCTCTATCCCTATTTATTGAGAAAATGAAACATTTTTTTGCGTGAACAATCGAACAGAATGAAATAGTTAACGTACTACTTACTGAAAAAAGTTTTGTTCGGAACACCTCGGGAGCTAGATGAACTTCCGCTTTCGCTTTGTTTGATACGTCGGCAAAGACGCAAAATTCGGAAGTTGCTTCTTTTCATAGTCTTTTGTGAAAATGGGCAGTAAGTCTATGAAAACATCGAAAACTGTGATTCTTTTGTGTTGTGCAGTAGGAACTCTGTTGTCTGTATATGCTTTGTATGTAGAAATAAATGCAGAACACGATAAAAATTACCGCGCTAGCTGTGATATCAGTCCCACGGTCAGTTGCTCGAAAGTGTTTAAATCAAGGTTAGTATGATCTGTATATATTCACAAATCGAACAAATAGTTGTTGTAGATAAAAAATCTTGGTAGATATAAACTCAAAGCCCATACTTTCCGCTTGAGTGACCGTGTCATTATATGCACAATTATCAGGTCCAGTACAATCACTAGATTTAGCTACGTAGGTAGAATTACCTACGTAGCTTTATTTACCTACCTCAGGTAGCTTTATTTAGCTATTTCAAGGTAAGTTTTGAAAAGTTTTCCTTTTATTAAAAAGAGACAAAAAGTCGCAATTAAATGACTATTGATATTTATACTAGGGAGGCTTAAAAAACAATCCAAAGCAGAGATAGTTCATACGTTGCTGCGTTTGGACAATTTAGAGCAAAACATGTAATTCCATTGTTTGGTTAACTCTCCTCTTGGTGAGGCATGCCCGAGTATGATTACTTCACATTGTGCTGAATAATTACCGACCTATTATCATGTTATCCAGAACTGGACTTCTTTGTCATTTCATTCAGGGAGTAACTGTTCTACCTGTCAAACATAGCCGGAACACTTCTAGTATACAGGTCCCCATAAATATGGCGCTAAAATAGGTGCTGCCGAAGGCGGTGTACAATATATAGACGATCGCAATTGACACGAAAAAGAAGCCACAAATTGCAAATTTGACCCCAAATTCGTGTTCCTTGTGAAAAATTGGGTTTAAAAAACTGGTTTTTAAACACAGTTTTTTAAATGAGAATTAAAAGATTTCGTAAAATAACGTACTTGTTTAGGAAGTAAATCTCCAGCTTGCGTTGTTTAGGAATGTAGTCACATGATCAATTTTTGACGTAATCTCATAAATATTCATGAGTTGCATCACTTATATGTTGATGTAATGAAGAAATGCCTGATAGGACTCAAAGTCCAATGCTATTAAAATTGCGTGATTTTTGTGAGAAATACAGGGATTTAACAAATGTTAGCTAATTACTGGTCATCGATGGATTGAATTGTGCATCATTATCGATTTGAAAGGAAAAATATTCTGAATATTTGGACATGATTAGGAGGTCAGGATATCGAGCTGTAGTTAACGGTAAGTCGCTTTTACAATAACTTGCCTAAACTCAGCTCTGAAAATCGTCATGTTTCGACAATAGAGTTGATTTACCCGAACTTTCATTTCTTAAACTTTCCTGTTCTTTGTAAAGCAAAAATTTCGTGAACTAAACCAAAGTGTAAGATATCGACGCGATTCGACAGGCTGATTCACGCAAGTTTTTGGTCACAAAAGGCACTCATAGTGCCTTTTGTAAGCAAAAATGACATGAATAAGCCCAAAGTCAGAAAGATTACAAAGTGGATTTATAAAACAACCCCAACTTTAAAAAATATTTAACCTAACCCTAATCACTCGATCGGATGTGTTTTGTTGAAGCGAGTGGGAAATTGCGGTTTGTTTACATTCTGCATATCAACGGCAAGGGAAATAACTGCTCATGCATAGAAACTTCCCAACATAGCCCCAAAACTTTCAGAACTTTTTGCAATTGCACAGAAAAAGACATTTTTGTAGTTGTTTTCATGAGTTCGAAGTTGAAAATGATCACTGCATCAAAATGATATTCTCTGCACACCCTTAGAAAAATGCTTTTTAACAGAAATAAATCAATTTGGTAGCTAAATAAAGCTACCTCAGGTAGGTAAATAAAGCTATGTAGGTAAATCAAGCTATGTAGCTAAATCTAAGTGATTGTACCAGGCCTGATTATCGAAATTTTCATCCCCTCGTATTGATACTGTTGTACAGCTCTTGTTATGCTTTCATAGTCTCAGTATTTTTTTTTAAAGACATGTACAAGTTTATCTCAGGGTATTGTAACAGGAAAAGAGAAAAGTGTGACAGACTAGAACAGAATTCAATCCCACTTGAAACTCGAGTCAGGTGCTCTAACAATTGAGCTCTCTAGTGACCGCTGACCTGTTTTGGAAAATGTACCGTGGTCTAGAGTAGAGGAAGAAGAATGTGCCTGTCAGACTGGTTTAATTGCTAGAGGCCAGAAGGCTCAGTTGGTAGAGCACCTGACTGAAGATTCAGGGGGGCTGGGTTGGAATATCCTGTCTGGTGAGTCTGGTCTGTAGCAGTTTTCTTCTCTTCCATTACAATATGAACATTTAATTTAGATTGATAACTTGGATATTTTGAGTTAAACCTCTGAAAGTGGGAGGTAGATAATGTCCTTAAGACCAAAGCAGATGTTTCATTAGTGATATAAATTCTCATTTTGCATAGCATCTGTATGTAGGTCAGGGACTTGGCTTTGAACCCCTGTGTGTACAAAATGTAGTCCAGTAATCCCATAATACCTTGCTTTCCTGTTACTCTTTGGTCTTGATACAGTCGGTGGTTGAAAATCACTTCAGGATGAGTATAAGTTCTTTAAGGGTCTTTCATGTGCGGGAGGTGGGGATTATTTTCCGGTTGTTGGATAGCTTGGTATAGCTCTTTTCTAGGGATATTAGGGTGTCTGTGTGCAAATCTTGAACAGGTTCACATTTTCTCCTTCTAGTAATATACCCGTAAATACAGTGTATTAGTTTGTTAACAGATTAAGGAACTTTTCAAATTGCTGTAGACTTACTTTTTTTGCATGTGGAACTAATTGACGCAATATAAACAGACAAAAAATTTCTGCAGAAGTTTTTTATAGTGTACTTATAGTACATTCAGGACATTCCTTGGAAATCCTAGAAATCCTCATAATATTAATATTCTACCCACAGATTAACAAAAAATGTAATTGAGTGGAATGAAGACCCCCTTGAGAAAATGTATGTTTGCAGTTTTCTAATTACATGTATTTTTCAAAGTAATGAATGAACTATTGTACTTATTATAACAGGTGGGGCAAAGGATTTGGGCTGATTGGACTTTTAATTGGAGATGATCATCCACTCAATCTACCCAACAGTGTTTTTGGAATTGTATTTTACACACTGCAGGTTGCCTTAAGTAAGTATTAATACTCTTTGGGATGCACTGCACCAGCTAGCACTAGGACACTGCATGTATAAATTGTATCACCTCTCCTTCGAGAGAGGGTTATACTGTTTTATCCTTGTGTTTGTTATTTTTCAAAGCAGTTTTCTCATCAACTACTGATTGCAGATGCTTGATATTTTAGCATTCTTTGGTTAGGCATGCAAAATGCGGGGTTATTTGTTTTGTATATGGATCTAGATCTGATGTCAACTTCCGGCTCATCTGTGCCTCTGTCCATACCAAATTTCCGTCACATCTGGACTGTGTATATTAATATGAGTCAGAGCTTTTTTTCACATCAGAATTTTTTTTTCTAGAGAGCATTGACTCAAAGACTTCTCTTTAATTATGGTTCCATTATCTTTTGCAAACATGTGAAACTCCTTCAAAACACAATCTTGATGATGCTGTTAATGATTCAGTATTGAAAAGGATCGTATCAGGGCTGTCACTAATTTCTGCAAAGGGATTGAGGGAGGTTCATCTGGTAAACCTTTCATAAATATCCTAAAATGGGTACCATTTGTTTGTTAAAATCAATATTTCACATACAACTTGTATAACTTGATATAGTATAGTATGACTTGAGCATAACTTGAGCAGCATTATACAAATGAATGATATTTTTGAGCATTTTTAAGAGGGTTGTTACAGCAGTTTTAAAAACAGAATGAATGTCCTTAATCAATCAAGTACCAAGTCAATATTGACTCAGTATTTTATTAGTTCTCCTGAGTAAACTCAGGTGACCAATTGCTATCTGTTTTCATCCGTCGTCATTCGTCGGCCGTAAACTTTTGAACATTTTAGCTTCTTCTCTGGAACCACTGAACTAATTTCAACCTAATTTGGTATTCAGCATCTATGGGTGAAAAGGAACAAAAATTGTGAATTTCATGGTCCCTGCACACGGGGGCCTGAGGGGTGGGGCCAAAACCACTAAAATTAATGCAATCTTTAAAAATCTTCTTTACTCATGGACATCAAGCAGTCAAACTGTTGGCATGATTGTAATTAGCAATGAGTCCTTTACCGAAATTGTGAAAATCATAGCCCCAGGGTCAGGGGTTCTAGTGCTAGGGTGGGGCTAAATAGATTTTATAGTGAAAATGCATTATTTCTTTGAAAATCTTCTTCTCTGCTCCTGGGCATTAAATAAACAATCAAGTACATAGTTATGTTGAATAAGACTGCCTCTTCCAAAATTGTGAATTTCATGGCCCCTGGGTCAGGGGTTCTGGTGTTAGGGCGGGGCTCTATTTGATTATGTAGTGAAAATGCATTAATTCTTTGAAAATCTTCTTCTCTGTCCCTGGGTATTAAACAAACAAACTAAGTACATAAGCGAGAATGCCTCTTCCAAAATTATGAATTTTATGGCCCCTGGGTCAGGGGTTCTGGTGTTAGGGCTGGGCTCTATTGATTATATAGTGAAAATGCATTAATTCTTTGAAAATCTTCTTCTCTGCTCCTGGGTATTAAAATAAACTAATCAAGTACATGTACATGATTATGTTGAATAAGGCTGGCTAGGCTGCCTCTTTCAAAAATGTGAATTTCGTGGCCCCCAAGGTCAGGGGCTCTGGTGTTAGGGTGGGGCTCAATTGATTTTATAGTGAAAATTCATAAATTCTTTAAAAATCTTCTCCTCTGCTCCTTGGTGTGAAACCAATGAACTATTTACATAGTTATAATGAGGAAGGATGCTTCTTCCCAATTTGTGAATTTCATGGCCCCTGGGTCAGGGGGTCTAGTGTTAGGGCTGGGCTCTAATGATTATATTATGAAAATCCATTAATTCTTTAGAAATTCTTTTCCTTTGCTCCTGTATAATATGCCAATGAACTAGGTACATATTAATGATGAAGGTGCCTCTTCCAAAATGGTTCATTTCAGGACCCTTGTGGTAGGGGTACTGCAGGGGGGAGGGGGGTACATAGTCTGAAAATAAAGTAATGCTTTGAAATCTGCTCTTTGGTTTAAATCAACCATTTATGATAAAATAAAATTTAAAACTTATGATAAAATTTCCAAAATTTTGAAATATGTGGCCCCAGGGTCAGTGGTTCCAGTGGTTTGGGGTGCATAACTAGTGGTTAAATAAAGTGGAAATGCATTTTCTCTTCTTTACTCTGATCTATCTCTGTGTATTAAGTAATGCCTAGGTCACATTTAAGCCGATGGTCGGGCGACTAAATTTTTTTGGTCTTGTCGGCTGAAAGAACAGGATCGGCCGACACAGTATCGGGCGACACGGAGCAGTCACATTATTTCCTAGGGACACCGATGACTTGGATAAATAACACAAAAAATCTTTTTTCTTTAGAAATCAGCAATATTTTTTCAAAGATCTATATTTAGATAGGTGACGTGAGTAATGTTTGCAAGGCAAAGTGGCAGAATATTATAAAATTGTGACTCAATGTTGAAAATGTGTGCAAAACTTGTATGGAATTGCATAAAAACGACAAATGGTGCATATCTAAGCAGCAAAGAATACTTAATATTTCTTTATATCTTACGGATTAATTATTTATGTTATCTCCGTTCAAAAAATTTATATCAATCCATGCATCAAAATTTTGTTTGTGTTATGTATCCTAAATAGGTAAAATATTCACAAGTCGGGCAATCGTCGCCCGATCATCGAGCTCTTAGCTACAGTTTGATTTTAAACGTCGGCCGAAATTTTCAACACCCTTATTGTCCAACGACGGACGACCGACTTAATAAACTGACCGCCGATGGTCGGAATGATCAAAGGTTGGTTAACTGCACTTGAAGAAATCGGCCACCGACGCATGAAAAATTATTGGACCGATGGACACAAAATTGGTCGGCCGACAAAAAAATAGGTCAAAAATGACGACTGTCATCCGAAGAATCCCATTTTTGTTTCAAAACCCGTCGGCCGTTGGTCGTTTTTGGAAATGTGACTGGGGTTTAAGCAGAGTAAGCATGCCAAGTTATAATAAATAATGGTGCCTCTTTCAAAATTTTGAATTTCATGGCTTTTGTTTAAAATACGAACCAAATTCATTTGTTTGAAAGTTGTTACATGATACTCAGGTGATCTATAAGGCCCGTGGGCCTCTTGTTGGTTAAAGAGATTTATTCTCAACCAATGAAGTACTGAGTCAACATTGACTCAGTATTTCATTAGTTAAAGACATTAATTCTGTTTTTTATACCCCCCGCAAACGAAGTTTGGGGGGGTATATAGGAATCACCTTGTCCGTCTGTCTGTCTGTCCGTCTGTCCGTCTGTCTGTCTGTCCGTCTGTCCGTCTGTCTATGCAATCGTGTCCGGTCCATATCTTTCTTACAGAGGGACATTAGAATCTACTACTCCACACTAAGATTGCCCATGACCCAAGGGTGTGTCATGACCTTGACCCAAGTTCATTTGGAGAAGATCAAGGTCACTGGAAGAAAAATTTCATAATTCGTGTCCGGTCCATATTTTTCTTATCGATAAACTTGGTAGGTTCTCATTTCACACAAAGATTGCCCATGACCCAAGGGTGTGTCATGACCTTTACCCAAGGTCATTTGGGGAAGTTCAAGGTCACTGGAAGAAAAAATTCATAATTCCTGTCCGGTCCATATCTTTCTTATTGATAAACTTGGTAGGTTCTCATTTCACACAAAGATTGCCCATGCCCCAAGGGTGTGTCATGACCTTGACCCAAGGTCATTTGGGGAAGTTCAAGGTCACTGGAAGAAAAATTTCATAATTCCTGTCCGGTCCATATCTTTCTTACGGATAAACTTGGTAGGTTCTCATTTAACACAAAGATTGCCTATGACGCAAGGGTGTGTCAGGACCTTGACCCAAGGTCATTTGGGGAAGTTCAAGGTCACTGGAAGAAAAATTTCATAATTCCTACGGTCCATATCTTTCTTATGGATAAACTTGGTAGGTTCTCATTTCACACAAAGATTGCCCATGCCCCAAGGGTGTGTCATGACCTTGACCCAAGGTCATTTGGGGAAGTTCAAGGTCACTGGAAGAAAAATTTCATAATTCCTATCCGGTCCATATCTTTCGTATGGATAAACTTGGTAGGTTCTCATTTCACACAAAGATTGCCCATGACCCAAGGGTGTGTCATGACCTTGACCCAAGGTCATTTGGGGAAGTTCAAGGTCACTGGAAGAAAAAATTCATAATTCCTGTCCGGTCCATATCTTTCTTATTGATAAACTTGGTAGGTTCTCATTTCACACAAAGATTGCCCATGCCTCAAGGGTGTGTCATGACCTTGACCCAAGGTCATTTGGGAAGTTCAAGGTCACTGTGAAAAATTTCATAATTTTTGTTTGATACATATCTTTATTATGGAAAAACGTACCTCTGAAAAACCCAGCGGGGGGTATTTTGTCCCGTTTGGACAGTTCTAGTTTTATTTAGCTCAATAGCCAAAATTAAATAAAACATACAAAATGCTTTGTAAATATACGTAAATCATTATATATTACATATTTTATTTAATGTTTGTCCTGTGTCTATTTTCAGCCTTCTCCTCCTCGCCTTCCCTTGCCTCTCTACAGTTTTACACCAGTGCCTTATCCAACTTGGCATCAGTGTATCTAGGATATATCCTGTATTTTATTCTAAAGGACTTGTGTGTTGTCTGTATGTCAACGTATATAACAAATGCTGTTCTTCTAGTAGCTATTTATAACAAAAATAAAGCCATGCAAGAGGCCAAAAAGACTAAAGAAAAGAGAAAACAGAAGTGAAAAATGTATTGGATAATGAACATCATGAATCATGTTAAAACATGGCTTGATTCTGTCGGCATAATGTATAAATGAACTGGTTGTGTGTTGTGTATCAATGAACAGTAGATGTATGTAGCAAATCAGTTTTTACAAAAGTTTTTGAAAGTATGTTCATAAAAATTACCATCACATATCCAGAACTGTCACATTAATCTAAAAGAGCAGGTGCCATCATTTTCTGAATGAAAGCCAATACGGGGTATACAGGCTTATGACAAATGATAAGCTATTTTGATATGGAATGTTATTTTAAGTTCACTTGATCCAGATTAGTCTGGTGTCTGTTCTGTCCATGCATCTCAAGCCACTCCAAGACATTTTCAACTTCTGAATCACTATCATCTAAAGCAATTAAGCATTCTAGGGTAAAAAAGGTTTAAATGAAGCTATTTTTATTCTCCCTTAACATACAATGAAACTTAAGCTCAAACTGAAAGCATGTCCTCAAAACTTTTACATTATTTTTTTTTAAAAGATTCTACTTTTACATTGTTTTAGTATTTTGCATCTGCCAGTTTTTCTTGGATGGTGTACCAAAATCTTTACTCATATTTTTTTTGTGCCATAGAATTGTGATTATATTTGAAATACATTTAGAAATTACAACTCAAAATAAAAAATTTGTGTCTTTTGCTATTTTCTTGCATTTAACATATTTTGTGAGGAGTGTTTCTCACTATCCTATCATATTCTGTGATTATATTTGAAATACATTTAGAAAGTACAACTCAAAAAAAAAAATTCATGTCTTTTGCTATTTTCTTGCATTTAACATATTTTGTGAGGAGTGTTTCTCACTATCCTATCATATTCCTGATTTGTAAAGAAATATTAAATAAAGTGTATTTTTGTGTCCTAGCTGTTTCATTTCCTTCAATAAAACTAGAACTGTCCAAACGGGACAAAATAACCCCCGCTGGGTTTATCAGAAGTAAGTTTTTCCATAAGAAAGATATGGACTGGACATGAATTATGAAATATTTCTTCCAGTGACCATGAACTTCCCCAAATGACCTTGGGTCAAGGTCATGACACACCCTTGGGTCATGGGCAATCTTTGTGTGAAATGACAATCTACCAAGTTTATCTATAGGAAAGGTATGGACTGGACACGAATTGTGAATTTTTCTTCCAGTGACCTTGAACTTCCCCAAATGACCTTAGGTCAAGGTCATGACACACCCATGGGTCATGGGCAATCTTTGTGTGAAATGACAACCTACCAAGTTTATCCATAAGAAAGATATGGACTGGACACGAAGTATGAAATTTTTCTTCCAGCGACCTTGAACTTCCCCAAATGACCTTGGGTCAAGGTCATGACACACCCTTGGGTCATGGGCAATCTTTGTGTGAAATGAGAACCTACCAAGTTTATTCATAAGAAAGATATGGACCGGACAGGAATTATGAATTTTTTCTTCAGTGACCTTGAACTTCCCCAAATGACCTTAGGTCAAGGTCATGACACACCCTTAGATCATGGGCAATCTTTGTGTGGAGTAGTAGATTCTAATGTCCCTCTGTAAGAAAGATATGGACCGGACACGATTGCACAGACAGACGGACAGCTAGACAGACGGACAGACAGACAGACGGACAAGGTGATTCCTATATACCCCCCAAACTTCGTTTGCGGGGGGTATAAAAAAATTGATGGTAAATTTAATGACAACCTGGTGTTTAAAAATTTGAAACTGTGAAGTAAAAAACATGCATAAAACTGTCAGTTTTAGATTTATTTTTGTATTATGCAAAAACTTAAAAACAAACATTCCCAAAAAAGAATGTAAATGTATATAAAGCTGTGAATAGAATGGCAAAAATGACTATCTGTTCATTTACTTGTATGCTTATTACTTAACTAATCGTTACATAACTTAATACTTGACAAAACCATTGTTTGCTATTTCAAATAAAGTGAAATAACTTGCAATGACTATGGATAATATTTCACCTACACTTTACCAAAAAATGCCATGAATTTTCTGCATGGTAAAAAAATATAACACAGTGATGAAGTAAATATTTAACAAGCTGTTAGGCAGCAAAACAAAAATAGCACTTGTAAAAATTTGTTCAACAATACATAAAATTTGATAAAGTTCACTGTACAACATTTAAAACAGCATTAGTTGTAGATCTAAGGTTTTCTATCAATAACTGCTATGTGTCTGTGGAATTGTTTGGTATAAGAGTATTTAATAAGCGTGCTGGGCCACAAACAATGACTGTCCACCAGCGGCACTCTCCATTCCACCCTTGTACTTCCCTACAGCTGCTAAACCATTGGCCTGTTATAGAGAACACAACATACATGTTAGAAGTTAAAAGCAAACCTATCACTCAATTTCCAATTTTCTTTAAATGTTTGACAGTAAACAAAAGATTTAGTTCACAAATGATCTCAGAAATTTGTTGAGAAAGTATCATTAGTTCCAGAAATTTATGTACTGTAAACCAACTACTATTCGTGTCATCTTTTATTTCTGATTCTACCCATTGATATCAATCCATGATGGATAGTTTTCATGTCTGAGGAAACGTTCACTACAATTACTAAGAAAAATTATTGGTTTGCGGCACTTAACTTTCGCAAGTGTAAGTGGGCTGCAGAAGTTGCGGATATTTCACACACACAAATAAAAGTTGGTTTACAGTACATTGTACATGCTATAAGGCACCTCAAATTTACCAACCTTTGCACGTTTAATGAGTTCTGCCTGGGCAGCTGGCACATTTTCATCCTTGCCCTCCCATATTTTTAGAACAGAGGCCTGCAGGGCACGACCAAATGAGAAGGTCAGAGCCCAGGGCTTGGGGCCCTGAATAGCGTTGATCATGTTCAGATTTAAGGTCGCATCCTCCTCGGATTGCCCCCCAGACAGGAAGGTCACACCTACACAAGGGAAAGAGGTTATAATGTAAACAAGAAATGTATATATACAGTAAAACATGCCTACAGTGAACTCATTTATAAGGAAGCCATGATTAAGTTAACTGATTTTTATCACTTTCAGCACTACGAACATATTATGAACTTAAAACATCAAAATTGTTTGTCCTCATAAACACTTTGCTATAAGGATAGTTTACTGTAAATAACAAAAGACCTAAAAAAACTCTTCTGAAGGTAAATAAACCTTTTTCATGAAATAACACTATCGTTTAATAAAGTTATAATGAATACTTATTCCTGATCTTTAGTGAATATCTTTTAAATGCACTTATCTTTTTTTCTCATTAAATGCAATAAATCGTACATAATGTACAGTTTTGAGTGTACCTGGGACAGCAGGAGGGACTGTTCTACTGAGAGCAAGAATGGTGGCTCTGGCATTGTCCTCCTTGGCAAATTTCTTGGGACAGCTCATTCCAGCGGTGACCATGTTAGGCTTTAGAAGAGTTCCCTCCAGATAGACGTGGTGATCTGCCAGGGCTTTGTATGTAAATGCAAGAACCTGTTCAATAAGAAAACAATAAATTAATCTTTGCCTTAAGACACTAGATAGAAAAAATACGTACAGTATAGCTTCTGTATGGTGAAAAAAACGCGATTTTTTCTTTCAAGTATTAAATGCTAGTAATACTGCTAAATGTATTTATGGAAGTATTAAAACAATAATGATGCTGGAATTCAAGTTGTAAGATGAATTTAATTTAAAAATAAATACTTGTACTTGCAAAAATATTGTCAGGTCAATTTAAAAATTGTGAACTTTAAATTTGTAATGAAAATTATGAACTTCCACTATCTTTAACCTCCAGGTCGACCAGGTGATAGAAAATCTGCTCACTATTTCCTTATATTTACTTTACTTTGGATTTTGAATATAGTTCATTTCATGGAAGAACAGTGGGTAAAAATCTAAAAGAATACATACCTGCTCTGTGACTTTCTGTGCTGTTTCTAAATCGTGATCACCATCTGGTAAAACTTCAGGTTCTACAATTGGTACCAGGCCATTCTGAAACAGAAATATTATGTTAGAGGAATGTACATCATGTTAAACTGACTGCATAAAATACAAACTATTCACTTCAGGGGTTTCAATGTGAAAAAGCATGTGTAAAAAAAGTTTTCGTTGATGAATCTGTCTCAAAGTGACTAGCTCTATCAATAACAAAGCGTAGCAAGCCAAACTGCAGAGCCTATAAGTCTAAATACACGATGTTATGAGGACTGGTCCTTTAGCCACGATGAGACTAAATGTTCTTTGAATGAATCTTAAGGATTGCAGATTTCCAGATGACTGCACGTCTAGAGCTGAAACGAATGTTCGAACATTCGCGAACGAATAGTTTTTCACGAGTATTCGAATGGAAAATTTGTATTCGAATATTCGGTCACATGTTTAATACAACGTATTTCATGCAATAAATGGTGTAGGCTTATCCACTTGTTTTTGATCACGGTGGAAAAAGAAGCAAACGAAAGCAAATACATGTATAAGGCAGGTTGTAAACTTTGTTCACATGGTACTACTGGCCTGATAAAGACACGTCGTCAGATTTATTTAATCATCTTCAAGCCAATTATTCAGCAACCTCATGTATCTCCGAATTACTTTAGATATGGTGAAATTACAATTACAACTGACTGCCATGATTTTCGAAAGTAATAAAAAAAAATTATATTGTGCGGAGAGAAATATTCCGGATCAACAAACGAATCGATTGTTCAGATTTATAATTTATAATTAATTGCAGGAATCATATATGAAAAATATACATTATATTACCGGTATATTTTTGGAGAATGTTATATTTTAACTTTAAATATTGATTAAAAAATTCACAGGACGCTTCCGGAAACGAACTTTTTTTTGTTTTGTTTTATTTTTATAACAGTAAAACATGGCGAGCACCTGCTGGTTTGCTGATCGGGTGTTTTACGTAATCGAAATGCAATACAGTCACCTAATTTAAAGAAGTAAAGAGGCTTATGATTGTTGATAAAGATTCTTTTTCTAGTTTTTTTTCTGAAAATAAACGCTGAGTCCTAATGCACATTTACATGTCAAACGGCTTGGAACAGACGTTTATTTCTTACACCTATCTTATACATTGATATATAGTAATAAACAATAGGATTTACAAGTATATGAAAAGGCATAATAAGTCTTTTATTTAATTACCGAATGTTCGAATACGAATCGAATAACAGTCACGAATATTCGAATGTTGATTTATGGTATTCGTTTCAGCTCTATGCACGTCAGACAATGTAAGGACTTGTTCGGTATTGTCTAACATATGTAATACAAATTTTTTTTTTGAAAAAGGCACTTTTCTCAGGCTAACAGATCTTTGGAAGGGTCGACAGCCTTTATCAGAGGTTGGCCATGCATGTCTATCATTTTTAAAATGAGTTTCAAACATTGCTGTTGAACAAAAATTATAATATTGATGAAATGAAAAGTGTCATTGCTTACTAATTGAACTGAGAAGGTAGACTAGTAACAAAATGTTTTCAGTTTTGCTGTTTTGTGCGAGTTTATGTTATTTGTGTGAACATCAATTATTTCATGAAATGTGATACATAAAAATTAATTTCTTATGTATTTCTTTTAGCAGATAAACACAGCAAATGTTAATATTTACTGTATCACAAAACATCTATCTTTGTGCATGTATTTACCTGTTGACAGATGCTGGCATAACGGGCCAAGACATTGGCATTCTCTAACATGGCCTGGTAGGAAGGGGTGTATTGCTGGATTTTTAGAACACAACGCCACTTGGCAAACTGAGCTCCATCTTTTTTGTACTGTGCACATCTTTCCGACAATCCATCCAAACCTTTAAAAAAATCAAATATTGAAGACTTCTAGAAATCCAAATGAGTTCCACATCACATATGTTTTTCTGTATCGAGACTTGCCTATAACAAACTTCTTCCAATACAAAGCTTCTACACCTTTATTATATTCAAATGCAAACACACACACAACATAATCCTACCCTGTGTAGTGCACTCATTTTCTGTGCCAGCCAGTGGGACAACACCTTTATCCACTTTGATTCCTGGAATGATACCCTTGTCTTGCAGAACTTTTGTAAATGGAACTCCACTCTTGGTTTTCTGATAAAATGTTTCGTGGAACATGATGACACCACTAATGTTTTCTGCTGCTACTTTGTCCGATGTGAACAACAGCTCCCTGTAGCGTCTCCTGTTTTCCTCAGAGTTTTCCACATTTATGGGAGCAAATCTCTTTCCAATGGAACCTAAAGGCATTGTCATATAATATATATACATTATAAGGAATGAACCACTGCAGATCCATATGTAATATTAAACACTGCCTCAAAGATATATTCACTCCATCAACAACTTTGTTTGTAAAGAACTTTCAAATGGGCAACAGTTAGCGAACTTTAACAAATTATCTTTCAAAAGGCAAACCATGTATTGGCACAAAATATCCCATAACTGATCCCTCTACCCGATCTGAATGCAATGGTTATTAAGGCCTGTGATTTTATATCAGTATAAAAATTAATTTTTATCAAGCTTACTAATTTAGGCCAGGTAAAATTAATCTTTAGATTCTCATCCTAATTTGCAAAAAAATTGGGGCGGGTGGGCGGATTTTATTTTTAAGGTCTTCCGTTTCCAACGGAAGACTTTTTACTGATTCTGATGGTAAAGATTATTATTCTTTTTTTTTCTTCTACTTCCTGCCAACTTTGAGGCTTCATATCTCACTCATTTCTCAAAGGATTTCGCTCAAATTTTCAGAGGTTATAGACGTTTATAAATTCTATCAGAATGATGACTAAAATTTCAAAACGTCACTTCCGGTTTTGAGTTATTCCCCTTTAAACGAAAAATCATAGGCTTTTTCAGAGACCACAAAAGCTGGAGCAGAAATTTTACTTGTTTTAGATTTGAAGTTGTGCACATCGGTTTTTGTTTTTCGATTTCTGCATTCAAAATGGCGCTATATAGGGGTCAAAAATTAGAACACCTAAAAGAGCGAAAATTTACAGATGTTTTCCTTTTTATCTTGAAAACTAAAAATATTTTGTTAAGACATGTTGAATAAAAGTTGTGCATAATTACAAGCGCTTTCATTTGATATCATTAAAAAGGGGCTGGCCCCTAAAATTAGGGATCTAGGTCCCTTGAAAGTTTTTGTTTAATATCTCAAAAAGTATTGAGAATTTATAATACGTCAAATAAGCAAAGCTGTTCAAAATGTCAAGCTTTATCTAATGAGATTGTCAAAATACGTCCGGGGACGTCACTTCCGGTCAAACCGGAAGTAGTCAAAAATTGCATATTTTTGTTGTTCTTGACAGGTTTTTGGATATCATATGTCGCTTCCGGTCAAACCGGAAGTTGCCAAAATGGCTTGATTTTGCAAAAATGAACATAGATTTTGAGGATTAAATCATTTTTCGACTTCATTGCTCTATTTTTTTCAAATGAAAGTTACTTCCGGTCAAACAGGACGGAAGACCTACTCGTTGCTTTGCAACGAGCTCGACTCTAGTTTATTTTTTATAATTGTTAATTTATATATAGGCCTAAGTATCAACAAAACAATGGACGCCCCGTACACATTTTTTTCATTAACTTAATGCAGATATGAATAGATTTAATTCTTTTCATATTCTTTTAAATTTTTAAAGAAAATTTTTGCTTTAAAAGTTAAAAATGTATTGTTAATTAACAAATTATCAAGTACACATTATACGGCACACCCTGAACAAAATGAATACCAATAAATTGTGTATGCGCGACTTCTTATTTTGCAAAATCTATATAAATGTTCTAATAATTATTCTACTGAAAAATCTAGACTTTTCTTAAGTCTGTCTACGATGTTGTAGATTTTTTTTATTTCAAAGCTAAGTTACACAGCTGGAGATCGTTATATATAACTTGACCAGGTGTCATTTTCCTCGTCTATTTTTACTTAGTTACAATCTCTCTACATACTTGCTCCTGCCAGTGATGGTATCTATATGTGTTTATGCTATTTTTTCTTCTCTGCCTTCTCTATACTGACAAAGTATCTTTTCCTTACACATTTAAACTGCTTTTATTGCCGATTTTTCTCCATTCTTCACATGGCGTTTTTGCTATAAATAGCGACAAACTTTTAATACAGACGGGAGATAACTCTTAAACTTTGACCCAAATTCTTACTGAAGAAAATACATGAAAATACCCAAAAATCAAAATAAAAAACATCGGGGCGGGACATTTTGAGAGGGGCGGGCGGGGATGAGAATCTAAAGATTAATTTTATATGGCCTTATCTCATAACTTTTTTTCTATTTTCCAATATTTGAAAGAACATTGTATTTCTTAATCTTTATTTTAAAGTTTGCATGAAATGTGAATGAGCTAGTGTATCAATAATACCAGTTGATTCATCAGCGGCTAGAATTCCTTTGCCGGGAGCAACAATGGCCTTAGCAATGTTTCTTAGTTCTTCCTCCTGTTTCGGAGTGAGGTACTGTGGAAATACAGGCATGTTTGATCTGAAAACAGAAGTTTAAGATAAACACATTAACATGAACAGGAAATCAATGAGTAATAGGCAAATGTTGTATGTCTTCCTGGATGAAATCAAATGTTGAAATGAGTTTTCCGTCTGAAAAAAATGGTGCACTTGTCAATACATGAACATACCTGATTCAAAGTCAAATAAACTAGATTGAATATACAGATCAACAGAAAAAAGTTCCTTGAAACAACCTTGGCACGTACAACCGTAAATATTCAGCTTGCAAAGTCGTGAATGTGTCAAGGACAACCGGTCTTCTCGCGTATTTTTGCAGCTCTTGCCAAAATCGCCAAACTTTTTGGCTATTCGGTGGTTAGCTTTCAAGCAAATTTATAAGACGAAATAATTACCTTTTTATGCTAACTGCACTGTCAAGACTAACAGTTCCAGATTGTTTTGTCCTCTGAGTTAACTGCAAACAGGCCAAGTGACGTCACAATCAAAACGCAGTCGGAAATCCTTTGTACTTTTCATATCTCCAATGAGGAAATTTTCGGAGCACCTCTAAAAAAAATAATACTCGGTGTCGATAACGGTTAAACAAATAATTTCCGGAATGTTTGAAGAACGAACATCACCCCTTTTGTATTTTCCTTATTTTTTATGCCCCCGTAACTGAAGATTCAGGGATGTATAATTTTTTTCTTGTCCATCTGTCTGTCTGTTTGTCCGCCAAAAATAACCTTGTCAGTCACCAAACTTATACTTATGAACCTTGATGCTAGGGCTTTCATACTTCGAATTTACAATGCATGTGTTCATTGTGACCAGACCCTTCCTTATGTGAAAATATTTTTGACATTGACCTTAGAGTATGAGCCACTTAAAAGAAATCAATCTTTGCCAAAACATGAACATTTAATTATAGTACTGGGGCTTCAGAACCGGGGGGGGGGGGGGGCATATACCCCCCCCCTTTCAATATGCTTCCGACGCCAATGGGTTTTCATATTTCACAGGGGTATTGCTTTGGAAACCAATAATCTTGATCATGACCTCGGAATCTGACCTATTTTTGAAATATTTTACGCTTATATTTATATATTTATAATATTTTTAACAATTGGTATGTTTTTTTTTATATTTGATCAGTAAATTAATTGAAACAATGGCTTTCAAAAACATTTTGATCACTTGAATTTGAAAAGTTGGAGTTTGACATGCATTTTGCATTCCTTGTCCACAAATTTTCTGCTCCGATCTGTCTGAATAGAAAACGACTTTCAGTGCTTCGATTATATACGCATCATTTAAATGTATATATACAAGTTGTAGTAGTTGTGATATGTCTTCCATCCTCACAGGGTCAGGGAGCTGAGTCCATACGTATCACTGAGGCCACAGGGCTCCACGAGCACGAGTGCATGGTGTTCCTCTTTCGAAAGATGCATTGCACACTTCGCTTCTAAAGACTACATCTGTACATTAACTTTATGTTTATAATACATACCTATAACTCCTCTACATGTCAGGCATTCATTCGCAAATCTTAATAATTAATCTGCATCTTTTACATTTTTTCTGAAAATTTTTCTTTCATTTCAAACCATCAATTCTTTCGGTTTCGTTGGTGTTTGTGCGATATGCATAAGCAGTCTTTGATTTTAAAGTACATATATTTTGTTTTTGATCATTATCTTCCCTTTGAACGTGACTTCCATTGAAGAATTTAGAATCCTCTTTACCCAAGGATGTTTTGTATCAGCTTTTGTTATAATTGGCCATGGCCCGATGGTTTTTGAGAAGAAATTTTTAAAAAGTGAAAATTTTACAATTTTTATTAACATCTTTTATATTTATAAAGAGGTTTTTCTCTCGCCATTTCTTTTCTGAATGTTTTTTTACATTTAGTTTATATGAAAATTTTCATTGAGAGATTGCATGATTGCCTCTAATCTTTTTGATCAAGTTGGTCAAATTCTTCCTATGTTTATGGACGCTAACTCCTATCACTTCAAACCTAGAATGTGTGCATGTTTGATTTGTCAAACATTTTTTTTTTCAAGTTAGTTTTCATTTTTTTCCTTCTTTCCCCATTCCTTTCATCACTTCGATAGCGCTATCCATGACTGACATTGTTTTAAGTCATGCTTTTATCATGGCGTTTGGGCTTTCTACAAAGGTATAAAATAAAGAAGATATCATGATTTGCTTAACGAATTTGTATATCATTTACTTATCTTATAAAACAATTATGCATATATTCGAACTCGGTTAACATTGCACCTATATCATCACAAAAACTGAAACTAAAACAGCAATAATTGTATAATACTGAAGAAAAAAAGATGAAAAAATAATTTTGTGTTTGTATAACCCATATTTCATATGCATTGAATAATTTTGTGACTCCTCTTTCTTGATAACTATTTGTTTTCACTGAATGCGTCGGAAGCTTCGTTCGATGTTTAACGTATACTTCCACAGTAAGCAGTAACAACATTAAAAATTTAAGAACTTATACAAATGCAAACATCACGGTATTTGAAATGAACATCTATTAAAATACCAAAAATTGATATTTTTCAGCAGAAACAATTCACACGCCACCAATATAGCCCTGATTCTCATCCAGGATGATTCTAGCTTGTTTTTGTCTACACGTTTGTTCTCCGTGTCTCTGGAAACACCTTCTTTCCACATCCTTTGCAAGATCCCATTTCTTCATTTTGACATAGGACATCCCCAATAACTGGAACGGCCTCCATCTCGAGTCATTGGTTTCCAAACATTTTTCGAGTCTCTCAGCAGCTACGTCAAATTCTGATACGGTGTAAAGCCAACTTCCCTCGTACTCCAGCAGTGTTGCGTTTTCTCCCGACACCATGGACCTAGACAAGGAGATGCTCTTTCTCGCTTCTTTTTCATTAAGATTGCGATATAAAGTCAAGAAACCTTCTGTTGTGTATATAGGCTGAAATCCCAACTCCATGAATATTTCAGCCCTTATTTTATCACAGATCACATAATTATATTCTGTCCTTCCAAGTAATAATTTTTTCAAGTAAAATTCATTATCCTTGTAAACAAAGTCTGTAAAACGATTCATTATTCGTATGTGTTCAGTTATATGGAACTGATGATGCGAAATGAGCAGAAAATCTCTACTTCTGTACTCATGGTATTCGTTATGGATAAGAATAAGTAAAGGTACATTATGATTAATAATAGTGTATCCATGTGTAAGATATAAACTACTGTCCGCAAATACTCCAGTCACGTTGCTACGGTGACTTATAAACTGAAGACACGAGTTGACGTCCCTGGACTCTTTCATTCGCGGGTAAGTCCATGGATTACCTAATGATGAAGTGGGCGATGGATACATACTGTAGGAATTCAAAGCATAAAGTCCTAGAAAGAAAACAAGTAACACTTTCAGATGTTCTTCCTTGAGAATGCTTTGTCTCATTAATGCAAGATTGTGATGAAAAGAACAGGCGCATATAATCAACACTAACACAATGACATTATGTAGATGTCTGCTCTCCAGTTGCTTCATTAGGAAATGGGAGGCAAATTGTAAAATGGTTAAAAATATCAATACGACTGTAATGATATTCTCCAGATTAGCTGTTCTTCTAACCGACTGTCTGAAAAATCCCACGAACAATCCAACAACTGCTAAAACGATAAACAGAGATGAAAATATATCTGTAAAGAATATTTCCAGAAGAAATTTTAACGGCTTCTGGTCGCCGAAGAAAGTGGAGGGTAAACTGTTTTTGATGTTAAAGTTCATCCATTGGAAAGGTGATATGAACATGCTGCCGTATCTGTACAAATCTTCATATCCACCCACCCAAATGGCTGTAACAAAACCACATCCAGCAAGTAAAGCCATTATAAGTGAAGTCGTCACCTGACTGACATGAATAAATATTAAAGGATACGTGACTAGAAGTGTGCCAATGAAAATGGCCGAGTCAATACGAATATAACAAGCAATACCAAGTATGAATCCACTGAATAGATATGTCACTGACTGAAATATTCCAAGAAATCTAACATTTGATGTCTTCTTTTGTACATGGTCTTTCTTTACGTTTTCACTTGAAGATGCATTTTCACTTTTTGTTGCATTTGTAATGTTTGCATGACCATTTTGATTGCTGGCTTGGGAAGCTAACATAGCAGGTGATGGATTGTATCTACTGTCTAGAAAGAATCCAAGTAATGGTGTCAGAAAGGCGATCACAAAGGGGCTAAGAAGGCTAACGTCTAACGCATGCGTCCCAAGGACGGACAGAGGAAGTGAACATGCAGTGAAGATTGCTGCTAGTTGACTTGTTAGTACACAGGGATACAGTCTTCTCACAAAATAGTACACTGCCAATGGCAGTAAAGATGTCACAATCACATGACCCGTTCTTGCAATCTAAAAAAGGATTAATATAACATTACTGATTAAAAAAAGAAGTGGCAAGATTATGTGAACTGTAATTTTTTTTGGAAATGTATATTATGCAATTCATATGTACCATCAGTGGTTGAAGTTGGACTCCCAGGAAGTCTGCAATGGCGAACATGAGCATGTAAATTCTAGGCAGCAAGAACGAGCGTAGACTGAACATCCCAGACAGAAGCTCCTGCTCCTCAACAGAAGTCGCATTGGTTGGCGGAGGAAGATAGTCATAAAACCGGAAACCATAGCCATGGTACTCGGAGAAAGCAACTGCCAAAAAAAATCAACGCATTCAATTAACGAGTACACAAGAAATTTGATACGTATAAAACAAACTGTTTTTATTTTTCAAAATGAAAGTTTGGGATTTTGAAGTCTTTTGTATTTGGTGCTACATAGAATCTATATTTGACGAAGTTCAAGAAGACATGCCATTTAGAAACATTGTAAGGAATTCAATTCTCAATAAAAGCAATTACTAGTATATTTTTCTTGGAAATTTAAATATTACCAAATAATTGTCATAACAATAACGTATTTTCTCAGAAATAGAACCTTATATAACTTTTTAGAAAACTGCATCGTTCAGTTTAATCTAAATTGACTTTTTTTTTTAAAAACTTTTAATTCCAATCTTTAAAAATTAACGATCTACAGAACAGACCAGAACTTTCACCATGGTGAAGATCGATTTTAAAATAATCGATGTCGACCGTACAAACTATAATAATATATCAAGTCTAATTGTTAGTGGGTATATAATTTATAAAATGTAATGGTTGAATTGGCAGACTTATTATGGTTTAAATACATACATAACCTCGGCTAAGTAAAAATTTACCTGTTCTAGTTGTGTTTGACCAGCTGGAAACGTAGGGTCGCTGTCTCATTCAGACAATTAGTTAGAGAAAAATAAAAGCCAGTCGTTTATTCTATATAATAAATTGGGCGTGAAATACAAGTTAAAAGACATTTACACTGTAATATGGATACAATATACTCGTTGTTTACTCGGTAAACACCCCTCTCACCTTCCACTGTTTGGAATATTTCGTCTGGGTGTAAAATCCACAAACTCTGAGGCTGACCAATGTAATGGATCCTGACACACATTGTGACTACACAGACAATCCACTGGGTCCACCTCGGGAGGAATTTCTCCAGACCACAGTCACACGATCCTCCCCGCGGGGGGCACCTGTCGGGACACACCTCCCTCCTACCTGGTCCAGTTCCGTTACCTTTCTGGACTTCTGATAACTTGTACGCCATTTGTCTTCCATTCCTCATCGTCTCTTTTTTTAATTTTAAAATGTAAGTCCAGCAAGTTGTTTGAGTATCAGCTGAAACATTCCATATACCACAAATTCATGAAATTGCACAGTGACTTCTCTAAAAGGAGTATAGATTTTTTCGAGTCAGAATACTTCCACCGTTTTTTATCGTGCTTAACACAGTCAACAGTCTCTATTAATAATGCGTTAACGGCTTTCTCTTTAGCTCCTCTCACAAAAGTTTCGCTCCAACTACTCGGTGGGTATCAGATTAATTGATCACAAACCAAGATTAAAAAGCAGTAAGCGATAGCGATTTTTTCCAAAAAAAATAAAAAGAACTTGTATGGTAACAGTCTTCTTTCTCCAAGAAAATTAAATGGCTCAAGCAATGCCCTTATAGAATTGTAAAGGTCTCTTTGTGCAGTGTAAATATTACACCAATTTTATAGTAATCGATTTGTAGCAATGTAGTATAATGGTTTGATAAGAATGATCTTTTAAACAGAAACTGGGCTTTTCATTACACACTTGTATCAAATTTTTCTTTCAAATCTAAATTTCTTCAATCATATCAGGAAATTCTTGAAATTATATGAATATACATCCTCGCAAGCCAGGGTTCCTGTGCCAACCGTTGGACAACAGCAAAGTGTTGACTCAGGACCCCTCAGGCACGTAGCATCGTTTTTGAAAGTGGGGGGCCAACCAGAGAAAAATTTTTTTTACTTACCTGAAAAAATTGACAAGCCAAAAAAAAAAAAAATAGCCGAGAAAAAATATACTTTTAAAAAAAGTCCTGAACTGCCGAAAAGGATTATGTGACTTTTCATGTTTTACGAGAACGAAAAAGGGTGAAGATGACCAAATGTGACTGAGGTAAAAAAAAACCATGGACGCCCGGAAATTTCATTTTTTTTTTTCAACATGACTTAACTTAATTATAGTCTGGCGCTTTAGCTCATATCAGCCAAAAATTTAAGAAAATAGTAACGGGGCACTAAACACGACGTAATTTACAGGCAATCGCTTTAACTCATATCAACCCAATATTAAAGAAAATTGGGTAGTTCTTAAGTAAAGAAAGGATATTAAACATACACTCCGGATATTTCGTTTATTCTTCCTTAATTGTACATACGTATTTTACATTTTTTTATATATGGTGCTCCATTTAACACACAATTTATGGCATGCAATGCTCCAATTTTTGCCAAGACTGTCTCCGAAATTAATTTTCAATTGTTCTGTAAACACTTCAAAAAGCCACAGGAAAACAGCAATTTATATTTTAAAAAAAGACATAAATCACATTTCGTGGTTGAACAGAGCACTGTAATTTAAAATGGCACACAAATGTGCATAAAAGGTTCATTTGACAAACCTTACTGAAAGAAAGAAGTCAGAAAATAGTACCAGGTATTACACGACCTGAAAAGTCACTGCACGGGGAAAAAAAGAGCAGTTGCTATCAAATTAAATATGTCTTCTGGGAAAAACATAATTATCTTCGATTTACATAATTTTCGACATCATTTTCTGAATAGTAACTAGAATTCTTAACTTAATATAAAGCATTTTCAAACCATTTGGCCGGTGAAATTTCAACTTAAACCATGCACCGTAGCATGTAGGATCGGGAAGGGGGGGGGGGGGTTGTCAGGGTTTTTTTTTAGGAAAGTCGAATCCTCCTTTCAAAAATTGCTCCGTCTTTGAAAACAAAGCATCTTTCTTGGGAGTTAAATGATGAGATACACCGTCTTTCAACGTAAAAAGTTAGTGACATCGATTTAAAATCTTCTCAAACACTCCATTTATTGGGCCTAATTATAAAGCACTTGAATCATGGATGCTTCCTGACAGTGTGTAAGGTCAAGTTTGTGGAATCCATGGCCCTCGGTGAGGATTGCAATAGGAGTTTCAACTGTGAAGTACAAGGGGATACATGAAAAACTCTTAACATTTTCTTTCGTAAAGTCGTACTTAACCAAGAATCTCCAAATGCGTTGATCCAATTTTTTTTTCTTAAAGGGGGTGTCAATCATCATCTTCTTAACCCTCCCTCCCCGCCCTTACCCAACTTTTGAAACCGTTGCTAACTTGCTAAGGGCTTGTGTAATCATCTGCTGTGACATTGGGCCACTGTTTATATGGTCTCATCCACAGACACTTGGTTTCAGGAGGATGTATTTTTATTTTGCGTTTTTTCCAAAGAATTTTAAAAAAAAAATCAAAAATCGATGAAATAACATTTTTAAAATATCATTTTGCTGTATTTAAAGAGAAATATGATATTCTAAATTTTGAAAAGTTCCTGAAATATCCTGTCATTTCTTTTGCAATGCCGCAAAAATGTTTTTGCATATCTTTTCATATGGGGGTAGGAATAAGATACAATTATAAGAAGGACGGGTAATGTGGAAAAATATTGGTGGGGGTTAATAAAAAATAAGAACAGTGATTGTAGGGCCATGATTAGTCCCATTATCAGGTAAATCTTCTCAAAACGTGTGCTATTCGTCCTCCCTCCCCCCCCCCCCTTTGTGGCGGGAAATGAAAGCAAGAGGCCCACGGGCCTTATAGGTCACCTGAGTATCGTGTAACAACTTTCAAACAATTAAAATTGGTTCGTGTTTTACCCCAAGGGCCACGAAATTCACAATTTTGAAAGAGGCACAATTGCTTATCATAATTATGAACCTAGTATGCATACTCTATTTACTTAATACCCAGAGGTAGGTCAGAGTAACAAAAAGAAAATGCACTTTCACTTTATAACCAGTTGTGCACCTCACCCCAAAGAAACCACTGACCCTGGGGCCACATATTTCAAAATTTTGTAAATTTTATCATAAAATGGTTGATTGATACTAAAGAGCAGATTTCAAAGCATTAATTTATTTCCAGACTATGTATCCCCCCCCATCTTCATCATATATATATATATATATATATATATATATATATATATATATATATATATATATATATATATATATATACTTGGCATAAAACCAAGGATCAAAGGAAAAGATTTTCAAAGAATTAACGCATTTTCACTATATAATCAATAGAGCCCCGCCCTAATACCAGAACCCCTGACCCTGGGGCCATAAAATTCACAATTTTGGAAGAGGCACTCTTGCTCATCATAACTATGTGCTTAGTTAGTTTATTTAATACCCAGAAGCAGAGAAGAAGATTTTCAAAAAAATAATGCATTTTCACTATATAATCTATATCGCCCCGCCATAGCACAAGAACCCCTGACCCTGGGGCCATAAAATTCACAGTTTTGGAAGAGGCACTCTTGCTCATCATAACTATGCGCTTAGTTAGTTAATTTAATACCCAGAGGCAGATAAGAAGATTTTCAAAGAATAAATGTATTTTCACTATATGATCAATAGAGCCCCGCCCTAACACCAGAACCCCTGACCCTGGGGCCATAAATTTCATAATTTTGGAAGAGGCACTCTTGCTCATCATAACTATGTACTTAATTAATTTATTTAATACCCAGAAGCAGAGAAGAAGATTTTCAAAGAAATAATGCATTTTAACTATATAATCTATATAGCCCCGCCCTAGCACAAGAACCCCTGACCCTGGGGCCATGAATTTCATAATTTTGGTAGAGGACTCAATGCTCATTACATTCATGCCAACAGTTTGCCTGCTTGATGTCCAGGAGTAAAGAAGAAGATTTTTAAAGATTGCAATAATTTTGGTGGTTTTGGCCCCACCCCTCATGCCCCAGGGGGGAGGGGACCATGACATTCACAATTTTTGTTCCCCTTCACCCATAGATGCTGTATACCAAATTTGGTTGAAATTGGTTCTGTGGTTTCAGAGGAGAAGCTGAAAATGTTCAAATGTTAACACACGACTGACGACGACGGACGGAAACGGATAGCAATAGGTCACCTGAGTTACTCAGGTGACCTAAAAAAGGATCCGACACTTGGCTAGGGAAGGTATAATGTAACATCAGATTCGATTTCATTCAAATCAGAGTCCGTAATTGGTGTACTCACAAATGTACAATGAGACATTTAAATATATACGTTAGGAAACAAGAAATCCATGGGCCACAACTTCCACTTGAGTGACATTAGTCCTAGCTTTCTTTTCATAATATTTAATAAGAATTTTCTACGAAAGCCTATTAGGATCAATCTAGAGAGAAAAAAATATCAAAAGGCGTTATAACGCCTTTCAAAAAGGCATTATTACGCCTTTTCAAAGAGCGTTCTTACGCCTTTATAAAAGGCGTTATTACGTCTTTTATTTTCAATATACATGTATGACTAAACATATTTAGCCCAAGCGAGGGGGAGGGGGTTGCAGAAATCTTACCTTTGGGACATGAATTTAACAATGTGATATAGGACTAAATTCTCAAAAAATAATTTAAACAGATAGCAAATAGTCTGCCTGCTTTTTTCCAAGAAGAGAGAAAAATATCTTCAAATGACATGAATTTTAATACATGGCAAGCAAAGCTTCAAGATACATCTGCCTACTAGTATATCGTATATTCACAAGTAGAGTGTTGCCTTCTCTTAATACGAATGCAAACAGTTGTCAGTGAGATGTGCAGGAATATAGAGGATTGCTTAAATAAATATTGTTTTAATTAAATCTTTCATACATTTATTAACATAAAATAACGCCTTTCAATTTTCCTTTTCAAGTAGGCCAGTAGTACGAGTGCAAATGGGGTACCCCCCTCAACACATACACACTTTTTGGGGAAAAGTCTTGCTACAGTTTAAATATTGTAATTAACTGTTGGTTGCTTGGTTCCTGAACATTTTGTTGCAGTGTGTAAAACTGTGGCAAATTATTGGATTTAAACAAAGTTTTACTGTACCGAGAAGTCACCCAGGAGTTTGGCCAGTAGAGTGGGGGTGGTGGTGGTTGGGGGGGGGGGAGGCTTTAGAAGCACAGGCCTGTTAGATGCAAAATAATAGCTATTAAAAAAGTGTAATAAACCTTTTAAAAAGGCATAATAACGCCTTTTAGAAAGGAGTTAAAACGCTTTTTAGAAAGGCATAATATCGCCTTTTGAAAAGGTGTAATAACGCCTTTTAAAAGGCGTAATAACGCCTTTTGGAAAGGCCTAATAACGCCTTTTGGAAAGGCGTAATAATGCTTTTTGAATGGAAAGGCCTAATAATGCCTCTTGGAAAGGCATAATAACGCCTTTTAGAAAGGCGTAATAATGCCTTTTTGAATGGAAAGGCGTAATAACGCTTTTTGGAAAGGCATAATAATGCCTTTTAGAAAGGCGTAATAACGCCTTTTGGAAAGACGTAATAAC